AACGTCCAAAATCGCCTGAACCCAGAGGCTGAGTGTTTTGGTAACAAGCCCCACCCTGCTACCTTTACATACAAACTCAGAAACCTTGTTTCATCATGCTGGTTCAGATCTCCCACAACAGAAGACAAGCTATCAATGCGGGACACATTCATGAGGGACAGAAAGGGTGAGGCACAGGACATTACCTATCAGTGTATTATGCAGGTATTAATATTGTGTACACTAAAAACATTTCTTCCAGCAGCAACTCAACAATTAATTTGATAAACAGCAGATTTCAACTGATTACTGTGAATTTGTCACTCAAAACACATGTACTATATTCTTAAATCTCTAAAGCTGTCAGCTGTAGCTCAATTACACAGTGGATCCAATGGTTAGAAGTTCCTCCTCCTCCTTTGGTCTTTCTCACCACCTCAAGTAATCACAGTACAATTCAGCACTGTGGCTGTGTCAGTGTGGGTGGAGAATTACTTTTAAAAGACTGGGACTTTTAAGATGAATTAATTAAACCAAAACATTGCAACTTACGGGAAGAGTGCTGTAGTTAAACCACATCACAGCCTACAGCACATCAAGCATTACCCAAGAATATTTTCAAATGCCTTTCCCACAATTTAGGTCCTTCTAAGAGGTGCGTCACGCAGATTAAAAGCGAAACTCCCTTTCTGCAAACCAGGTGCAGTTTCTGAAATAGCTATTGTTCATAAAAGAAACAGGAGAGTAGTTGGATGTTCTTCTTCTTATGCTGAGTGTGAGGCCAGGTCAGAGATTTGAGAGCAGGCTGCCCACCAACCAACTCAGAGGCTGACTTCCGGCCGGGGGGCTGGGTGACAAACTAAATACACAAAACCTAGAGACACTATTTTACTACAGGGGCTGGGTGAGTACTAACATTATGTCTTCATACGAGGGCCAAACCCAGCCATGAACAACGGGCAGAGAGTGCCTATTTCTGCCAGTTTAATGGAGTCTGGACAGCTTTAACCCAGCTCTTTATGGTTGCACTCACAAACTGCCTACATATTAACACTAAACCTGTAAAATGTACCTGGAGAAATAGGTCACAAGGATAGCCTTGTCCCAGGAGAATGAAAACATTTGGAACGCTGGAACTTGAAGATAAAATTGAGGCGTATTTACGGGCAGAGTACAGAGAACTTTGTCCAGGAACTGGGCCATCTAGCAGCTACAGAGTAGATGATGGGGACACTGGAAGCAATTCCTTCCCGCCCTCAAAAAAAATAACAAAAGACCCTTAAGTTCAGAAAGTTGAGCTGATTTTGATGGACCTGTACGAGAAAGATGAACGTGTGCTTTTAAACTGATCATGTGTTGTCTCCTTACTTGTGCATCTCCGTGACAAAACACTTGGCACTTTTAAAAATGCTGGTTTTAATAAGGCCCAACAAATGTGCAACAGATGTGAGACAGACATTTACTGCCCATGAAGTAACTATTAATAAACAGAGAGGATTATGCAAACCACTAATGCTTGTACTGCGAATAATATTGGTTTGTTTTGATCATTTTTGTTTCAGTTTTTTTTAAAACAATAAAATTCTTAGAAAACACAAAGAACACATTCCCCAGAAATTTGCTTCCCCCCCTTAGCCATCTGCCAGCATAGAGGATTAGCAGCACAGATTCAGATATACTCAGGTTCAATAAGAAACATATTAATCCATGTCATGACAGGCCATCTATTAACCGTTAGTCTGCCATCAATGGATTACAATCTTGTTGCCCAGGTGATCAGAGTAACTCAGTGAGAGATAAGTTTTCACCATCTGACAACCAAAAAATCACATCAGCAATCATTTCGACTGTATGCATTAAGCACTCAGATCAATCCATAGATTACGGAAGACTAATGGGCTGAAAACGTTAAAGTAAAACTATCTTAGGAAGCCTGAAATTTCTCAGAAACTGGAGGTAATTTGAGTTAAAATACAAGCCTTTTTCATCCCGGCCCTCCCCACACAGCACTCGCTCTTTGCTTGGATATGTTTCCTCTGGTACAAGGTACCCTTGGATACCTCTCTCAGCTGTGAGCTGAGGTGGTAGGTATTTGAAAGTTGGTGCAGTAGTGGAGCTATAGTAGCTGCTGTTCCCCTCCCAAACCCAGGACCCTCAGCCATCAGTAGTATCCCTACCCCTGCTCAAGACAACAACAACAACTTGCATTTATATAGTGCCCCTCACGCAAGATAGCATCCCAGAGTGCTTGACAGTAGTGGAGCACAACGTTAGACATTAGCTAACTCAGCATAAAGAGGCACAGAGAAGAGACCTTCCTTGCTTAGAAGGTTCAATTTAAGCGCAATATTCCCCCACCAATTTGAAACAGTTCAACACAAACATTGTGTCAGTGGTGCATTAATTAAAAGGAAAATGTGAGCATCACATGCTCAGAATCCCGGTTCCCAGCGGTTGAGTGCAAAATAGAAAAGTCTCATTAAGAGTCCCCAAGATGGGAAGCTAGAGGAGATAAATACACAAGAACTAAAACAATCCCTAAGCCAGATGCCTCTCTCAGGCCATTTCTGGATTCTAACCTTGGAGCAATGCTCTGGCGGTGGCATAGTCATAGGGATCACTGACCAAACATGTGAACTGGAAAGCTGCAGGAACACATCAACTTTCAAGCGTCTCCTTGTTGACATCAGATTTCCTTTTCGAACATTTAACTCAGGGTCTGGAGCTGAAACACTTATGGTGTGGAATGGTAACCTAATATTGATACTCTGATTATTTCTGTTGGTCCCCTTTCCTAAAATAGAAACAAAATGGACACCCTGTGTAATTCAACACCCCGTGAAGGTTCAGGTTCAGGTTCAAAGCCAGCCTGACAATAACATCTTCACTTTAACACACCTGTTTGTACATTTCCATCATACTGTTTACACTGTGCAAACGAAATCTACCAAGATCACTCTCCTTTTAACCCATTTAAAGCCGTAGTTAACACTCGCTGCTACTCTGTGTCAAAAAGATGACAAGGTTAAAAGGCCACTGCATCTTTCTCAATGGTTCAGGGCCGTCAAATGGAGCTTTTCAAAATGGTCTGAGCAGCTCAGGAATCTGTAGTCACTCAAGCTCGCTTCCTGGTGGGTCAGACAGGAGCAGCAACAACACCCAGGCAGAGTCTACAAACTGCTTTGTACATTATGTCAACAAGAGCAAACAAGTCAACTGTGCATTGGAAAAGGGGGAAGGGACATTGCAAAGCATTTCTTTATCCTCCCCATTAGTACCTTTCTCTTTTACAAAGCAGCAAAGTTCAGAAGGTTATTTTGGGCGTAGAAACAACCTACAAAGGGTTAACTATCCAATAGTGTTCAAATCTGAAATATATATTAGAGAGAGACCTCCAGCCCTTGACCTCTGGAACCTCATTTTTAATCCAACCCAGACGGATAGGCTGAAATCGTTTCTCTTAGGTCTCTCTGATGACTACAAGGTTAAAAGGAGTTTAGGGTCAGTCTCAACTCACCAGGTGATGGTTGGGGATTAACACTACAATCTTACACAGAACAGCCCAAGTTGACACTAAATTGAGTCTCTCCCACAGAGGCCACACAGATAAATGGTGTCGGAAATGGAAATGTACTAGACAAGTATTCCAGAATCCTGTCTGCAGTAATGTCAGCAAACATGAACTACTGCAGAAGATAAATGAGTAACAAGTCTGAATAAGTGTGAGAAAGAACTTGCATTTCTACAGCACCTTATCACATCAAAGTTGTTGGTTATTAAGTGTAAGTGTGCCTGCAACGCCACACGAACAGCCATGAAGTGAATGACCAGTTAATCTGGACGATCGTTCACTGTTCACAAAATGTGTGATGAACGAAAATCATTCTAGAACTGGTCAAAATGTCAGGACCGAGATGCTCCTAGACACCACACGTTGCTGCAAACTGAGGGGCCGTATTTCTCAACATTCGTTGCTTGACACAATTGTGGTTTGCATTTATTAAATCGTTGCCAACAGCGAGTTTGGAAGAAAATCAGTGAAACAGATTGTATAGCCACTAAAATGAATAGGGCTTCAAAAAACCCTGAGTGAGACGAATTGCAAACTCATTCAAATGAAAGAGCAAGATTTTCTGTTTTTAGTTAAGGAACAGAAACTGATTCCAGCTTTTCCAGTACAATTTATGACATTACCTCAACCGCTCGATATGTTACTGCCTTGCAACACACTCCAGCCAATGCATTACCCAACATTCACGGAAATGTTCCACGCCTTTCCTCAAAAAAAATCAAAGCCCAATAATTTCATTAACAGAAAAACATTATTAGAAATTGTCACCAAAAACCTTTTCTGCCTCTGAAGTGACTCATCTCTACTGAAGACCAGATAGGGAGCTATCATCTGTGCGACCTATTTGCTCTATCTTTGACTACCTAGATGAGCAGCTTACCACTGGGAAATCATGTAGTACAAAAGTAATTACATTAGTGAGGGTGGGAGGGGGGGTGTGTGTTTATGCTATATGTAAAACTCATAAAATGTAGGTGCCCTTAATTATGTAATTATGAAAAAGATGGATTATATAATTACTTAACACCAGGGCACCTGTAATTCCCCCAGTGCACATGGTTTATACTTGGTGCATGCGTATGTGTTTACACATGGTACAAAAGAGACCCCTTTTACATTTTTGCTTATAAACGCCTTTCATAGTCTATTACTAGGCAGATACCATAGTGTTGATGTCTATTCAACTTGCTACGTGAGAAATGTTCTTTTGACTGAGGGATAATAACGGTTAGGTTCGTTCTCCACTCACAGTGAAGGTTGCGGTTCCGTTGCATATTGTGTTCTGGGATTCCCTGCATACTGCAACAATGCTGTATGACGAGGACCGGGAAAGGAGAGAGGTTCAATTTCATCTACTGCGATTTTTCAGAGTTTTAATTGTTGCACATCAAATAAAAGGGGCCAGGTGTGTGAGCTACAGTAGGCGTTCTAGCTACACATATATTCTTACCTCTTTCTCATGCATTCGAGCCAGACTCTGCTCCTCGCGAAGTGCGCTAATTTTTCCCAGGCTTGTTCTTGTTGTAATCTATAGAAGTGGCAGAAAAAAAAGATCATGTTCAAAGATCAAAGAGGGATGGAAGGGGGGGGGGGTGGGGGGAGTCTTTAGAAGACTCAATTTCATTATGCACAGATTCCAATTATCAGTGCCACCACCCTATTTCTCCTGCTCCCCCCCCTCCCCATGTCAAATACCCTTAACGGTACCATCATTTGAAAATCTAAAACCTACCGGAGACAAAGAGATCGGTTTCTCCCTCAAATATCTAGGATTTTCTATCTGTAAAACAAAAACAAACAACGCCCAGACTAGTATCGATCACTGAAGGTTTCGTTTTTCCCTTCGACTCACACAACAGGTGACTTCAAAAGAAGAAGGCAGCTAAAAAGGCAGTCCCTGTTTACCAGTCAACGGTGCCTGCTCGCAGAAGATCTTAATGGCATCACAGGGACTCGATTCCCAAAACCTTTTACATTCAAACCCATTCCACCACCACCACAAGAGGCATGTTGCAATCACACCTCGCCTTGCATGTCTAATCCTGAACTTCACACCCGTGACAAAAACTTCAAACAGACTCTTTACATAAAAGGCTGAAGCATTTCAAATATAATAAACCACAAAAAAGGGGCTTATAAGGGCTTGCATTTTAAGTCACCACATAAGACAGCTTGGCCTGTTGGGCCAGCAGGAACACACTGCAAGCTGAACACAGCACAGCTTTCACTCCAGCAGCTGAATAGATGGAATTTGCACAATCTTCCCCCACAGCCTCCCACACCATCAAATGTAAAACTGTATCAAATGCCTGACTGTCCAGTACCTAGGAACGTCCTTCCGACATGCAAAGCGCTGTGTAAATGTAATTTGTATTGTATGGGCAGAAGGGCTGACTTTAGCAACCAGGTTTCTTAGTTCATAAATGGTTACGATAGCTAGTTCAAATTTCTGGAAAAAAATTAATGCTGAGAATGGAACAAAATCCACCAATAGCACAGGCGAAGAAGAATTCTCAGTAAGGCGAGGAGCACTTCCAATTTATCCCACCGGCACCAAGCTGGGTTAGAGAAACTGAGAAAAATGGGCCTGACAGAGATGATGATGATGCTAGGGCTTGGTAACATTTCCCAATAGATACATTACTTAGGAAAATGTTTCCAGGAATTTGCAATGTGGGGAGGCATATATGCCTTGATCATTATTGAGTGGTGGTGGGGGGGGAAAAAGGAGTGAAAACCCAGTTAGTTTCCTTTGACTCAGGGTCATGATTGACCCTGTAATTGCGGTAAAGGTTCTCAGAGAAGCTATGCTAACTGTGGAATACACCAATTGCATTCCCTAAATGAGGAAGATCATATACATGATGACTAACAAAAATATGAATGAACATTGATTCAAATAATCATAAGATTGCTGAGCTTCAGGAGTGCCTCAGTGCTTGAATGCATCACTGGCACTACCAAAGAAGGGGAAATGCTAGAAAGAAAATGGGGAACACTTTAAAACATACACATTAAGGTTCTTATTTATTAATTTTAATTTATTCAGAATGAGGCCCTGAGAATTACACATCTGCACTGCAATCAAAGAGATCAATTACCATCCTAAATCACAGAAACAAAGCACGTGCTGTTCATTACCCGCCTTTGAACCCTCGAATAGATTATACTTCCTGGTATGTGTGTGCTTTTTCTAAATACAGTTTCATTTAGTTGTTGCCTTTTTATCATGCTTTTTTCCAGTGATGGCAAATATATCCTTGACAAATGCTAACGTTCACAAAAGTGGATTAATCCCTTGTGACAAACAACAGAGAATGAATAATTTTTATTCCACTGCTGAGTGCCAGGATTTACTGCAGTTGGCACGGAGTCTCAGACTTTGAATGTTGCTGCCTTGTTATTTAATTAGGTGGATATATTTGAAGCCCATTCAGTTTTGTACTTTAGTTTTATGAGGGTAGTGATGCTTCTTTAGAAGAATAATCAACCTGTAACTACCGAGGCTGAGAAGAGAATTAATTTCTTAACATTTGTTGAAATGAGCTACAGCTCGTTCCCCTTCTGCAGTCCAGTACACTTCCCAACATAAGGCTCAGGCAGTTCCGTGCTGCAGCTGTCTGTGGCGCCTCCTTCACTGACTACTAAAAGGACTTTGAAGTTTCTAGAGGCCAATACCATTCTATTTGCTCTCATGCAAACCCACAACTAAAGGATATGGGATGACTGTACTCACTTTGATCTGTTTATTACTAATAGTGTATTCTCAACAGGGTTAGTCACTGAAGTGTGGAGCTATTGTGTGGACTTCGGTTGCTCTATTTATGTGAGCAACCAGAAGTTTGTCAAAATGCCTAGAATTTAAGCAGAGATTTCCCCCCTCCCCCCCCCCCCCCGATGACGTGATTGGTCAGGTTTGCACTGAACAGGATACCAAAGAAAGTCTGGCAAAGATAACTGAACAAGACCATCAAGTAAAAATCCTATGACTGAGCAAGGGAGTTTGTTATTAAAACCATGTAAAATGTGAGCAGGACAGTGTGAGGTGCTGGAACAGAGGAGTCAGAATCAGAATATTTTAGACCAACCAGAAGAACCCTTTGTCATTGAGTTTTGCTGGCTCTTCACTGGATTCTTCATCAATTCCACGGCAGGGAGGGGGAGAAAGTACAGAAACACCACACTGTTGAGAAGGCCCATTGTATTTACAGTAAGCATCGCCACAGCCAGCCAATGTCAATCATGTGATCCCCCACACTGAAGGTATGTAACAAGAGATGACAAAAGACTGGGAAGAAGCAGTTTCCTTGATGGTGCTGGGAATTTATCTGGTGAAGGACCAAGATATAGACCGTCCTGGCTCAATTCCCAGTTTGTGCTGAGTTAGTGGATCTCAAACTGAACTACAATTGCCTCATCTGACCAGATTAGGTAGGGAAAACAAGCCATAGTTCTGGCAACTGACTGATATGCAGCCAATTTGCAACAGGTGGACTATGTGTGGGTGATGGAAGAATTTGGCTCAACACTTACTATGTCAGCTCATCTATGAAGATTGGTTGCATGAGTAAGATGACAATTTCCTGTGGAATATCAGCTCAGGAGAATGAGAAAGAAGTCAAACCCTGTTAGGGTGAGTAAGAGGTGGGGAAAATTTGGCCAAAAAAAACATCCGGAAAAAGAAAATATTCAATAAAAACAGTTTTTAAACAGCCAACTTAACCTGAACCCAAAGCTCATATAAAGAACATACCCCAAGATTCCAGCTGTTTAACCTGGCTTCAAAGTCACTCTCGTCAGATGATGTAACCGCTCTTTTTTGAGAAAACGCCTGGAAACAATTAAAATGGATTTTACATTAAAGTCATTACATGTTGTGTAACACATTGGAATTACAGTAAGTGAGGAACAAATGAATTCCCTTTGAAAATATTTTGTATAAAAGCTTANTTTTTTATGCTTCTTGTTAATCGTTCCATTTTACCTTTTTATTCAGTGCCTTACTTTGATCATCCTAATCCACCTTCTAAAACCCTATCCTTTTCCCGCTAATATTATAGGAAGCAACTGACACTCAAATCAGAACTGGGAATAAAATAAATATGCAATCAAGCAAAACAGACATGGGGTGTGGGAGAAGGACTAAAGATCTTAAGAATGAATGAAACAAACTGAAAATAAAAGAGCAAAGAAAAAGTTGAAAACGAAATTACAGGGAAAATAGGTGCAAAATCCGGTCTTAAACAAGTAAAGCAGAGCAAAAAAATTAAGTAAAAAAAGAAAATCAAATCAAAAGGATTTAAATTAAATTGGAAGCAGAAAAACCAAGATCTTAAAATACATTTGGCATGGCAATAAAATAAACAATCAGACCAAAAAAATGTGCAGCAAAGGGGAGGAAACCTCAGGCCACCAGTGAGTTAAAGTGTTAGATTTCTCAGCCACTTCAATAGAGTTTGAGTGCAGAGAGTACCCATTTACCAATCACCAAACAATACTGGGAGCTGCAGGGAGTTAATACAATAGCCCTTTCACCTCCAGGGTCTGTGTTAAGAAGCCAACCCAGACTGATGTGATGAAAGTATCCTCAACTGTGAGATTCCAAAGTTAAATGGCTGTGGGTGCTCTCAAACCAGTTCCTAATGGGTTTGGCACAAAACTGCTCAGAATTTGGCACCAGGTTGTCAGTTTAACTCAGAGACCACAAAGGATGGTTAGTGTGGGAAATGGAAATGCAATGGGACAGGAAATGGGAATGACAGGAGGCTGGTGCACAATTTAGGGACAGTATAGAGGGACCTGTAACCCACAGCTAAACTTATACATGAACTATAAGTTTACAGTTCCTCATGTGTGAAGAATGGCCATTTGGACGAGGTACCTGAGACACTCGAACCATACCCTAGTGGATGGTTATAGGAATCAAACACCCTCATGAGGGGAAAATTGGGTGAATTAAAACATGGCTCAAATAAACAGACAAAATAGCATACAATAGATGAAAGGAAAAATGATCATACTAGTTTTCAACTTTGGTACTTTCTGTAAACAGTTGAGAAATGCTGTTATTTTTCAGGATTTTGATATTATTGGAAAACGCAATGCTTTTGCTCTCTATTGACAAAGATCTGACAGCACTTTGGGCTTCAAAGAATCAGATTATGACCTGCTGGGATCAGCTGTTTTCTGGTTTGTTTTGTTTCTAATGATTATTTCTTCTCTCAAATGTTTGGATTCTCACTGGTTTCCAGATCATCAGAAAACCACATCACAGTCATGCGTACTGTGTGGAAGCACACTGCAAACTTCATAGAACTAAAAATCTCTTTTGTGGCCCCAGTCGTGTGGAATGCAATTGAATAAATACATTGTGAGAATTCTCATCAAAGATGCCAACAGTGTTTGAATTGCAAAGAAGGACAGGGAGAGAAATGGACTTGATTTGATATAGGAAAGGGATCCCAAGAGAGAGAGAATCCATTGGACCTCTCCTAAGAATTCAGATAGATTCAGAATTAGACACTTCAGCAACAAACGAAAGCAGTAAAATACACAGAACTTTTCTGNTTTTTAATAACACTAATTGTAGGCTACAGTTTGTTCACATCAGAGCGGAGCTGCTAAACTCAACCTTGCTACTTTAAAGCGATCTATTCCGAGCACAATACAACTCCAATTGTCAGCCTGACTTTATAGGTTTTGAAGTATGACTTTCTGGAGGGTGAAGGACTCAAATGAAGAGAAGCAGTCTACAGAAGAAGCCTAGAACCCTTGGAACAAACATAATTGACAGCAGACCTTATACTGTATATTACTCGCAACAGTGGGAAAGCATTCCTAAGAGGAACATAAGATGGTATTTTCTAAACTTGTTTTGGAGCAGGAGCAGGCTGCTTTGATGGAGTTTATTCTGTGATGTACAATTCCTGTTATCTCTACAAGTAAATCATCAATCGAGTCTTCAAAACTACCAACACAAAAGGGAAGAACACACGAACAAACACTTTTAAATGATTCTTTTCATTTCCTTCCCTGCACTGACATTTCAAGTTCAGGAAATATGCATCACTTGTTCAGAAAGGAAGAAATATTTTCACACAAGCACACACAATAGTGTCACAAACAGCAAAATCAGAGGATACTTATAAAGGACACTTATAAATAAGCTAGGCAGGTATCTGGTTGGGAATGTTGCTGGAGGCTATGGGAATGGGTGCAGACTGAGATGTTAAAATAAGATATTTTCTAGAGAATAGCTGGACACGGTTTGATTTGAGAATACAGATGCAAAGAAGTTTTGCATAATTATCTTTGAGGGATCAGGGAGTATTTATTCAAGATCATTCTCCTTTGGGGATTAAAGGGTTAAACAATCCGTCACACAGTTGGTTTCGCAGACACTGTAGGAGCGAGTATGATGGAGTGAATGGCCTGTTATGTTGTATGATCTGAGTGTATAACATGAGAGTACAAAGTCTATTTCGCTGAGCCGTGCAAGGTTGTCCACACAAATTGCAATGCTTAATCTCTCAGTCCCCAAATGCTATGCATGAGTGGTGGGTGTCGGTGAGTTCTGTAAATTCACTATGAAGTTACACTGAATGTGAAAACTGGCAGGAAACAAAAGCTTTTTTTTTAAAAAAAATGCCACCAGCAAATGCCCTTTTAAAGGGTGCCCCAAATTTCAACCGTGCATAATGTAGCATCTGACAAATTTGAACGTAAACAAAGTGCTGTGTTGACAGGGCACGCAAAGCATCGCAGCCACTGCTTCAGCCATGCTTTTGTTCAGAAAGCTGGCAATGCGCAATAACTTTGATGCCTACTCCTTTGAGCACTGAAAGACGTCTTCAACATTAGAGAGACTTTCCTCTTTTCTTCTAAAACTCTCAATTTTTAAGCCTCTTTTGTAATTTGCCACCCTTCCCTCTCCAGGTCTCTCCTCATCATTGCCTTGGTACCAGTTCCAGGGAAATTGTTGTTCCCACGCTGCTGCCTGTGCTATGCTATAGTCAGTAAGTAGAATATGCCTGTCTTACCATCTAATTTTTGCTTGTTCTGCCAATGAAGAAGTATCCATTTGATGGAGTCAATGGCCTGTTGGCCATCAGTCTCCAACCCCAAGCCAAATTTGGAAACTTATTACGAGTTCCTCCCATCCAGAGCTTTACACTCAAATCCCATTCCCCTTTGATTATTCCTCACGGGAGAAAAAAAAAGGAAGAGATGCAAATTTCTGAGGGAGTCAGTGTTACTCTCAATACAATAACAATAATAATCCTTGCATTTGAAATAGGGCCTTATCACGTCTTCGAGACATCTCAAAGCGCTTCAAAGGATATACTGCAAATTGATTTAACTGTATACTTTGTGGGCGAAACACAGCAGCCAATTGCCAACAAATAGTCTTGGATTAAGTGACCAGATTATTATTATTATTTAACTTATGAGAAGATTTATTTATAAAGAAGGCAAGATACTGAACGTGTGGTGCAAAAGAGTATTAGACACAAAGCACAATTACTCCGTAATTGATCTCACGGTTAAATTTGTAGTTACGTTTTGTTCGTCTGATTTTCCTCGCGCTGGGCTGGCTGAGCGTGAACGCGATGTTGCCCTGCCATTGTACGTGCATCTTTGCCTGTAACCAAACCACAGAAGAGAAATAATAATCAGTGCTCCAGGAATTTGCACAGCCCAAGAATGTAGGGGTAATGATAAGCATCTTATGCAGGGGAACACCTATGGACAATCACTATGTATGTATACACTAAACAAGGAGTCCTGTAGCTCAGTGATTAGATCATTCGCTGCGCAAGCAAGAGACCTGGGTTCGATTAATAATCCTTGCATTTGCATTTGATATAGCGCTTTTCACGTCTTCTAGACGTCTCAAAGCGCTTCACAGAATATACTGTAAAACGAATTGACTGCATGTTATGTGGGCGAAATGCGGCAGCCAATTGCGCACAGCAGCGTCCCACAAACAGTCATGGATTGAAGTGACCAATTTATTATTGTTTTTTTTGAGGGATTATTATTAGGTGTGTGGAGTAAGGAAACTTGCCCAAGTTTTCGCCCTGCCGGGAATCGAACCCAGGTCTCTCGTTTGCAAAGCAAGTGCTCTAACCACTGATCTACAGGACTCCACAAAACGCTTCCCGGCAGGGCGAAATGTTAGGCAAGTTTCCTTATTCCACACGCCTCGGTTTACCTAGAAGTAAGTAGGAATCCGGTTGTTAGTCGATTGGCGGATTGCTTTTCCGGGGGTAATAATTCCTTCAAAAAAAATTGGTCACTTCAATCCATGACTGTTTGTGGGACACTGCTGTGCTCAATTGGCTGTCGCGTTTTGCCCACAAAATATACAGTCACTCCATTTTACAGTATATTCTGTAGAACGCTTTGAGCCGTCTTGAAGATATGATAAGGCACTATATCCAATGCAAGGATTATTATTAGAGGATTTTATTTAATAACGAAAATGTGGCCTTAAAAGTCATGTAATGGCTATGACAAGAACCACTCGAGCTGCTCAGTTACCCTGACATTATTACGAAATGTGCAACATAATTCTCAAAGACAGATGGGTTTCAAAGCTGCTGCATCCTTGGCCCATTTTCATTTTAATGTTTTTTTCGGGGGTGGGGTGGCAGTTATTCTCTACATCTCAGGACTGAAGATGATACAACAAGCAATGCAGTCTGTTGGGCTTGTGCTACGATTTTCCATACAGTGAGGTCCCAATCTCAATCGCCTTTTGGGAGGTTGAGGGCATATCATGCACTCCACTCCTGCATGTTTATGTGGTCTCTTATCCTGTCAAGGGAAATTTAAATGGAGCAGTAAATAGGCATTCTAACCTCCATTCATCTTGGTAGATTTATAATTGGGTCTTACTGTAAGATGAACTCTTTCGTCATGTTAACCCATTAAAATCTTAACTTGTATTCCCCAAACTCTCCCCACTCTGGGCAGCACAATAAATCAGCTCACATGGTCATCTTATTGATGAAATAGATAAATGCTTCAGGTATTTCATTTCCCATTTTCTTTACTTTTTGCAATATGTTTTTGCACAGAGGAAGGAAAAGCATAACCTCGTGAGGAAGCTGACAATTAAGGAGGCCCCTGACTGATAAGACACTCACTCAGAAAGGCAAAGCTCCTATTACACTAATATAAAGTCTAGCATCAGATGAGAGAAAATGCCTCACTACATTTCCTGAAGACCCAGTAAAACATTTTTGAAGTTATCACAGGGACTGTTTATTCTTCTTCAGGATTCAAACAGGCACATGACTCAGCACACGGCTCAGCTCTGCCATGCACATTTGCTTTCCTTTTCAAAAGGATCTCAGAGCGAGATGAAAGAAAAGGGTTCAGGTCAAATTTAATTATGTTACTGCGGTGGTGTGTCACTCCTTACAGATGTGCGAGTGGAACATGTGTGCAGTTTGAACTTTACCCACTTGGAAAATAATCTAGCATCTCATAAGGGAGGGCTATAAAGGCTTAATGCGATAAAGTAAACTGAAGAAATATACTTTCAGATACGCCAAGGCAACAGAAGAGGGCACAGGTTCAAGGGTGTTAAGGGCACATTTAGGACAAGTGTTTCTCTACAAAGGGGGGAAATCAACAGCTGGAACAGGTTACTAGGATGGGTAACATTATGAAGTATGAGATCAAAAGAACCAAAGGGCCTTCTTCATCCAAAAGCTCTCTTGTGATACTTCTGAAACTGAAAAGTTCGAGGCAAGGACAATTCCTTCCAGAGATAAATGCCAATTTAACATAAAAAGAGAGAATAATGACCCTATGCCCCATTTCCTCCCACTACAGACAAGTCTGCCTTGTGATTACCTGTGTGCTGCAAGTAGTGAGCAGAAGAGCTTGAAGTCAACTCAAAAGTTCACTGGGTGGTGCATTCTCTGAACAAATTTATGAAAATAGTACAAATGTTGCCAAGAAACAAGTTTTGCAACAGTGTGTACAACAACCTTTCTTTTTAAAAGACAGTGTTTCTCCGTCTAATTGATGGTGTCAGCTTGCCAATGATAAATTCCTTGCTAGATCCAAAGGTAAAGGAGAACCTTTACATCTGACACAAGCTTTAGGCTCTTTGCTGCCACTCCTTTCCAACAAGCTCAAAATAAACTGACCAATGCACTGGTAAAAAAAACCTTTAATCTCCTTTGAACTGTGGCAAAATAAACAACGCGAAACTAGTCTGCAGCCCCAAGCACCATCATTCTTCTGCGAGATCAATTGATCAATTTAAGAAAATGAAAACCTCAAAGCTTTGGGAAAAAGGGGACGAAAACCAAACTTGAGAATTTACAGCAATAAAAAGCTTCAAATTAGGCTGCACTTGTGTAATTATTTTTAAATACTTAATATAAAAGGTCCTTGATAGATAAAAGGCATTCCTATCATTTCTGTATTCTTTAAAATACACAGAACACATAGGGAGAAATGTTACCCGCCACGTCAACTGTCCTTTAACAAAAATGTAAAGAGGAGTTTTTTTTAACATTTTTGGAAGTCGGTGTATAAACAAGTGCTGTAAAACTATTTAAGTAATACAACAAGAGCAAGATAAAAGCATGCAACATTTTCATGTCAATAAGCTTGTGGGTTTTGTCTGCGAGGTAATGTACATAGAACTAATGTAAACAAAGGTTAGGAATTCCATTCAATGAGCTTCTGACAGAGCAGCAGAAAATCCCTCAATGCCGAGGTAGGCAAAAGCGAGACAATGATGCTTCTGTGAAGAATGAGAACCACCTGCACTGTTTACCCTGCTCCACGCGATCATTCCTATTGACTGATCAGGCTTTCTGCAGCAGTTGGCATGAATTACCTCTCAATCCATCCTCACACTTTGATAATTAGCGAGGTTATTTGATGGGGAGAGACGATGGCTAAAGTTACTGATGCTGAGATCAAACAAAGCCCAGGCTCATGGTTTGGTGATGGAGGATGAGATGACACCATCTTGAAGAAAGAAATTTGACACCAATTTGTATTTATTCAAATACAAACCTGACGTCTTCATGCTCATCTGAAGCAAAAATCAGTGCTGATTAATTCTCTATCCAAAAGACAAGAGAATAAAGTGTTTCGCCCACAAAATACAGTCAATTCACTTTACAGTATATTCAGTGAAGCACTTTGAGGCATCTCAAAGATGTGATAATGTGCTATATCAAATACAAGGATTATTATTATTAAACTGTGGCTCAGCCATTTCAGCACAGAAGTTCTTAAGTGGAGGAAATAAAAGTTTAGAGCAAAGGCCGTGTTTTTGGACACACTTTCAAATCAAGACTTTTTAAAACTATTCATGAATACACATTCTTGAAGCTTTAAAAAACATTCTTTTGTGGTGGCTAAATGCTTTCCATCATTTTTGTATCACATTACTACATTCAGTTAGGAACCTTGAATTTACTGGCAATGGATGGATTAGTGAAAGGATTTTGCCAAGGTGTGAATTGTATTGGTTTCTGTGGAATTGATTTCAAAACTAACACAGAGGACACTGTTAATTTGTCAACTTCATTGGGATTTGAGTTCAAACAATTAGCTGCTTTAGTATGCTTCAGATGAGCATACTACAAATCAGTATGTGATTTGGTGTTAGTCATTGAACTAACAGATGGGGGGGGGGGAGAGAGAAACAAAACTGGAGAAAGTTACATTGCAATTTATATCCTATTACTTGGAACTTAACAGCCAGAATTCTATGAACCGAACACATGTCCACCCAGATTACCATTATCCATGTGCATGGACCAAGTTCCAGGTATAAGGCCCCTGTGTGATTTATACAAATATACAGAGAAGCAATGAAACTGAAATTAACCATCAGTTACAATGTTCCCTCTGTAGTTAAACATCACACTGTAGGGCCTACTTGCCCCATATTAAAAAAATTCCCCAAGTAATGATTAAATTCATATCAACTTCAGCCCTAAGCATCAATTGTTGCCCATGGAGTGGCAAAGGCTTGAATTTGTAACTCCCAGGTCTTGGTATCTAAAGACAAACTCTCATTGACCACAGAAAACAAAAACAAAAGTCGCTGGGAACACTCAGCAGGTCAGGCAGCATCTATGGAATTTGCTGAAGATTAAGAATTGCGATTTGCTTTTATTTCTCTAAATCAGGCAGCTTCTTCAAACCCGGAGTTGTATTGTGGATATTTATTGATGGCATTAAGTGGTCTCTAAAGTTATAAGCCAGTATATCCTGTATGTTTTCCAATTTGGAAACATTGTGTGTATCCAAATTTCTCATGTAAATAATTTCTCATGTAAATAATAAATAATAGGTCAGGGCGAAACCTTGGGCAAGTTTCCTTACTCCACACGCCTAATAATAATAATCCCTCCAAAACCAAAAACAATAATAAATTGGTCATTTTCAATCTACGACTGTTTGTGGGACATTGCTGTGCGCAATTGGCTGCCGCGTTCGCCCACAAATATACAGTCAATTCACTTTACAGTGTGTTCTGTGAAGCGCTTTGGGACGTCCTCCCGACGTGAAAAGCGCTATATCAAATGCAAGGATTATTATTATTATTATTATGGAAAGTGAGTCAACGTTTCGGGTCCACGGCCCTTCGTTAGAATTGTCTCGGGGGGGGGGGGGGGGGGGGGCAGAGGAGGAGCACCTAGGGACCACTGTCCCCTCAGCACTCTGCAATAAAGGCTTCCTTCGCACCCTGCACCCCGAATCCAAATAAAATCACCTCTCTAAGACTTCAATAACTTTCTGGCATCCCTTCCCTGAACACTTTCTCTTCGCCCTAATCTCTTTCCCTGACCGAAACAGCAAGCAAAACTCCAAGCATGACCTCAGTAATGCTTTACAGTCTCAGCAATGAGAGGATATTTTGTAACTTGATTTTTTTTCTCTTCTTCTTTATTCATTTTCTTCATCCTGCCTCTTTTCCTTTATTCATCTTTCTTTTCTTTTTTTAAAAAAGTTATTTGGCTTCTTTTCTATTTCCTCTCAAACCTTTCTCCAATCAAAGAGGCCTTGAAAGGGGAGAAGCAGGCAACAGATGTGGGGATTTTGAGAAGGAACTTTTGTTTGGGGAAAAAATAGAATACAATCATTGAAACCAAAACTAAACTGGGGGAAAAAAATCTGTGAAGTGTAGAACCAAGTAGGTCCAGCTTCTGTAAGTCAGGTCACATATAAAACCTTTTGTTTGCTGCACTGTAAAAGACTATTGTTGCAATTTGTTTTGTGTTTTTCATTGCTGACAGACCACACAATTACCCCCAGGCTCGAGAACAGATGCTCTGAAGCCGCTGCTCGTTCTACTCTTTAGCAAAGCACTAGGAGGCACTAGTCAACACCTTGGTGATATGATCATGCTTGCTGTAATTTCTCCTGGCCCTAAAGGGAGCTGTTCATCCACTGCACATCAACTCCAACGTACATTATCATAATCCCACAGCACCATCTAGCTAGTTCGAGTAATATAACGATAAAGTGCAGATAATAACTGGCATCTAAGGCCATTTAAAACAAACCTCTTGTTCTCCTTCTTATACTGTACTTAATGTAAAGCATTGCCCCAAAATGGGATAAGCATACAATAAGCTGGAAATAAACAATTTGTAAAAGGTTTTCAAAACAACTTATTTAAAATCACAAGGAAAAGTCAAACTGTAGTAACTACACACACTGAACTTATTTAAAATCACAAGGAAAAGTCAAACTGTAGTAACTACACACACCGATAGGTGATAGAGGAAAAAAAACTAGAAGACAAAAATACTCCAAAGTATGAAACAAATTCTCCAAGGCAGCAAAAGAATTAACTGGATCCACAGCGCTACCCTGTGGTGAATGTGTGACAACACTGAATACTTTAATAAGGATATAGTAATAATAATAAGGGTATGAAAAGGCTGCCAAAGCACTGGGTCCTCTGCGGTTGAATTCACTTCAAGGAGACACCAGAGAAGTCCAGAAGTCCAAATTAAACTGCCAATGCTTGAACAACCTGAGCAAAAGTGGCACTAATTCACCTGTGAGCATGGGCAGTGCCAGCTGGTAACGGGAACCCAATCCTGGTCCCATCCAGCGTTCATATAGCTGTACGTTCTAGTAGAGTCACTGGATAACAACAACGGTACTGATTTTTCACAATCTTCTCAGGAAGGAACAGTCCCCATAGTCTGCACATCACACAGTCCTTGCAGAACAAGCCAACAGACTGAATGCCGGCTACAACAGTGCACTTGCATGCAGCGACTGATATGTCATGTTTTGTCTCTTGTATCCACAATGTACACTACACACCGACCTAAATATGACACAAGCTTGGTTTGAAATCTGTAAGAAGTAATGAAGGAATATTTTAAAATAAAATTTTCACTGCAATTACTTTGCTCTAAACTGCTTGAATTCAATTCAATCCCCATAACTCACTAATATCCAATTTTATGGAACATGCTTCCAAAGCTTGGAGACACCTAAAGTTAACATGTAAAAGAAAAATCAATAAGTGTCTGATGCACTGAAAGTGCTGGAGGCAGTGAACAAATTATCGATGTCTGCTGGATAAAAATCTAAACTCAAATGCAATTTTTTTTATACAGCAAGGTATCTACAGGCTAAATATATAAGTAAGATCAGCTTTTCTTGTCAATATACTCATTATTTTGTTTTGTTGACTGCAGGAGAGTAGTAACATGTCTTTGTTTGCAACATCAAAGGATCCTTTGACTATTTCAATCAACATCACATTCAGAATCCAAATGTTTCCTATTGCCTGCTTTCTTTCGCTCCCATTACCTCCTCTCCACACTTGCTCTCATTGCTGCAGCCACTGACATTCATGTTCTTTCAGCAATAGGGTCACAGATTTAGCACAACCACCAACAATGACAATCAGAGATGGACAGATAGCTATGCTGTATATGTCTATAGCTGGGAACAATCCAGCCAGCAAAACCCCCTCTTCTCTTCATTCCCCCCTCAAATGACTGACCATTCCACTGCTGCACAATGTATTATACAACAGGTTCAACTGAGAACTGCCAGCACTCATCCTGCGAAGCGATTCTAAAGATCAGCCCAGGTCAGGAGTCTAAGTAGCTACCAGCAAACACACATGGCTACCTGAATCCAGACTTCCTTTTTTTGCAAACCTATTTTTAAAAAATAAAAAGTTTACATCCCCTTTCTACCCTCTATGCTGTACAGAAATAATATAATAATAATCCTTGCATTTGATATAGTGCTTTTTACGTCTTCTAGACATCTCAAAGCGCTTCACAGAATATACTGTAAAGTGAATTGACTGTATATTTGTGGGCGAAGCGCGGCAGCCACTTGTGCACAGCAATGTCCCACAAACAGTCATGGATTGAAGTGACCAATTTATTAGAGGGATTACTGAGACCCTGCTTTTATTGGCTATTTGAAACTCCCATTTTTCACACTTGAGTGTTGAGTGTAACTTCTCTGATCTCATCCTACTTTTTATTCTGATAATTAGAGCAATCCCTTTATTGCTTGATGATGTACCTAGGAAAGCAGCAAGGTAAAGGGACTCCGGAATGGAGTTCCAGAGTTTGGGGCAGAAAGGCTGAAGGCTGACTGCCGATGGTGAGGAGGGCAGGGCACGTGAAGCAGGCGAGTGCCTACTGAGGGGCGAGAGCAGGCAGGTTGCTAGAGTGACTAATTTCACTGAATAAAACCATCCATTTATTCTCTAATCTAATAGCACTTCTTCAGCTAAGCTAACAAATATAGATGAAAGTTACACAAGTCAAATAATTCAATTTATATCAAAGTAAAGAAAACTAACCTATTAGTCGCTTGCAAGAAGCTAAGAGACGCATGATCCACTTTTGAGGAAGTTCTCCATGAATCCTTACTTCTCGAATCCCCAGAACCCAACTCCCCAGTCACCCAGTCTGGCAAGCTCTCAGCGCTGTAATCAAGCTCTCTTGCCATACTTGGTTCATCAAAGTAGATTGACTGAAACAAATTAAAGAAAGTAATACATGAACTGGTTTATTCTGACCTGAAAGAAGAACAGATCCATCATTCTACATTCTGTGTGCCTTGAGATTCGGGGTGTACTGAGTTCTAAGCTCTGAAGAGATGCCTGACTCCCTCAGAGGAAGGGAGAGAAACAGTAGACCATCACCAGACATCCTACACACCTCCCAGCAGCAAGGAACTTTGGCAAGGGCCAGCAGCAGGTAACTTGGCTTACTTTTTTGACGGTTCTTGTGGACCGTAAATATCTAATAGGACTATTCTGAAGAGCAGGGAACCCTCCAGATGTCCTGGCCAATATAGGTCCGTGTTCCTACACAGATTCACACTTGTGTATCCCTACAGAATGAATTCTCCAAGCTGCATGTCAATCACACCACCACACACTGTCACATTGGTAGAGTCCCTGGCACCTGCACCAAGACTGTCACTCCAAGAGTAGATTTCAGCAGTCAAATGGCACAAAACACAGGAGGGGAATAATACGTTAAACACATGCAAACCATTTTAGCACCATGCTCTATTTCACTTACATTACAAATTACATGGAGAGCACAACGCAGATAACAGTGACATCTAAAGGTAAAGGTCAGCATTTGCAATCCATCCTCTCTCTTGCCCCCTCACACGGGTAGTAAAATATGACAATCATTAAATTAGACTTTCTTTTAATATAGCTTCCACCCCTGTATAGACATCCATACCATATAAGTAGGTAATGTTTTAAGTGATCCTTGTTCTGGTCTGTGTGTGAAAGGTCCTTCCAGGACTCCCCGTCTGAGCATGTGCAGTAAAAGCTTGGCATACATATTTCGGTTTTTGCGTCCCATGACACCAGTGCCGGCTCCTGAAGGGTCACATAGCTTCTTTACCCACAGTGCACATCTTTGGCGTTCTACAATATGGGAAAGAATTTTATTTTTAAAAATCTAACCAATATTTTTACTTAAACATAAACTTTTCTAAATTAGCAGAAATTCACGGATTCAATCCTTCAGTTTTGAATCTTAACCGTACTACTGTAAGGGGGCCAAAGGAGGAGCAGGGGACGGAGCATTTTCATTCATAAATTCAGTCAAATCAAAGAAAGTAAGAAATGTAAAGCTTCAATTCAAATCAGAAGCCTCCGTTCCCATGTCCAGCTCTAGAATGCTGACTATTATTCTGTACAAGAAATTGTTATTTCAAATTTAGATCGTACCTGACTTATGGGCAAGTTTTAAAACATATGGTTTCATGTCAACCAAGTAATGGTCAAATTCGGAATCTAGTCTTTCCCAGGTCGCCTCCTGACTGCTCATTTTGCTGTGAACGTTGTCTGTCCACGGCTGCCAGCGAAGAAGTAGAATGAAGAAGAATTCAGTGAAACCTAATTTTTACAGGGCGGAAAATTCATAAGAGCAATTATTGCACCGTTTAAGCATAAGTAGTTTTCTTTGGCACCTGTACCCTCCACTTTCCTGATTCTGGTCCGTAGCCCGTTCCTCACTCCCCTCCCATCAGTGGCCGAGCCTTCAGCCATTGCGTCCCCCATTCTCTGGACCGCCAGTCCACAACAGACGCTCGGCTTTCTACGTCGACTGACCTACTCGGCTAAAGTATGTAGATCCAGTCAACAACCCAGGTCTCGCAACTGAGATTTCAAGACCAACCATATACACCAAAACAGACTGATGGCAGCCTCACAATAATAAGCCAACCAAACTGCAGTCTGATGTTAGACCCAAATTAAATGGGGTGGGGGGGGGGGGGGGGAGGGGAAAGTCACAAGAAGATGCGCGGCATCGTTTCTGTTACCAACTGGGCAAGAGGTGTCAGCCCGGCTCGTCTGACGGCGCTCTCACCTTCCGAGTCAGAAAGTGTAGGGGGTGGCGGGCGGTGGGCGGTGGGGGGGAGCGCCTGAACCCCCCCCCCCAATCCCCGAGCTCATAAGACAGACACTTCAGGATGAGACCAGACCAGGCGGAGAGTGTTAAAACAAGGCGAGGATTTTAAAACTCAAAATAAATCCCTCTGGAATGATGGGGACCAGAGTTTGGCGACTGTTGTGTGTGTGTGTGTGTGTGATGGGGGGGGGGGGGGGGTGGGGGGGGGGAGAAGCGGAGGGGGTTAACTTCTGGAGTTTAACCAGTTAAAAACCACGTAGCCTTTGCTCTTGCAAAACAAATGTCGAACCAGGAGGGCAAGGAACCTGTGGTAGTGTCCAGCCCTGGTCCTGGCCTCCCCTCGCCTCAGGCCCACCACCTTCAGCCCGGTTGAGAGAGAGAGAGAGGGAGGGAGAGAGGGAGGGTATGGGGGGGGGGGGGCACTGACCTGAGCTGAGCTGCGGGCGCTGACACCGCCGCCGCTGCTCGGCCTAAGCTGACAGTTCGCAAAGAGGATGAGAGAGTGAGTGAGAGAGAGAGAGAGAGGATGGAGACGATGGTGACGGGGAGTCGCTTCCAGAGGCCCCGCGGGCAGCCTCTGACGAGGGGGACAAAGCCGAAACGTTCGTTCGCCCGACCGACCGACCCCCGACTGACTGACTGACTGACCGACTGACTGACTGAAGGAGCGGGCGGGCGGGGAGCGGGCGGGCGGGCGGCGGGCGGGCAATGGCGATGCGCGCGCAACTGGACTGGCTGCCCGCTCGAGCCAAGCCCCAGATTCAAACCGGCGTGACGTCAGCGCGTCACGAGGCGCCCCGACCAACGGTCGCTCGGCCGTGGCCATGGAGACGGGGACGCCCCCCCCCCCACCACCCCCTCCCCACCACCGCCCTGGACGGCCACCGTCAAGCAGGTTAGTCAGGCGGGTTTCCTGGGCTCTTTTTAATAATATTCCAATTATAATAATAATAATAATAAAATCCTTGGATCCCATACAGCGCCTTATCAACGACAACCGGACGGCGTCTCAGAGCGCTTCACAGTAACCGGGGTCCCGGGGCCGAGCCTGGGGGGGCTAGGGGGAGAGGGGGTGGGGGGGGGAAGGTGACCCAAGGAGAGGTCGAAAAGAAAAGGTCTTCGGCCGAGACCTGAAAGTAGGAAGAGAAGAGGGCGAGGAAGGCAGTTCCAGAGCCTCGGGGCGTTGCGGCTGAGGGTGGAGCGCAGGACTTGGGGGGGGGGGAGAGAGGAGGTCAGAGAGGTCTGGGGGTGGGGGGGGGGGGGTGTTGCGGAGGGGTGGAGGGATTTGAAGACCGGGGTGAGTGAGGATCTTGAAGCTATCCAGTCGTTGAGACGTCTCGAAGCGCGTCACGGGATGCACGGTGTATTTTGCGGGTGAAACGCGGCAGCCGATTGAGCACAGCGGCGCCCCCCCCCCCCCCCCCCACCACCCCCAAACTGTCGTGGATTGAAGTGACCAAATTATTATGATTATTATTATTTGGGAAGGGATTATTACCCCCAGAAAAGCGATCCGCCAATCGACTAACATCCAGGTTCCTACTTACTGCTGGGTGAGCGGAGGCGTGCGGAGTAAGGTAACTTGCCTAAGGTTTCGCCCCGACCTGCCCGGGAATCGAACCTGGGTCCTCTCGCTTGCGAGGCGAGCGCGCGCCAAGCACTGTGCTACAGGACCCTTTTTTTTTTTTTTTACATGGCGCTCTGCACGAGAAAACGACTTTGGCCGGGTGCCTAATTATAAAATTATTTAATTTAAACCCTGCAAAAGAAGAAACCTTGTTTTTTTTGGGGGGGACTCTGCTAGATGTATTAAATGTATTTTAATTTCTGGCAAAAGCCTGTTCACAACACGCCGTTTGTTGGAAATGAAATGAATACTGTCATGCCAGCTGCTATTCTGCACCAGCGGCCGCCCATAACCCAAGAGAGATGGGCAGCCACCGTGTCTGAATTCATGGCAAATTTGGATGAGATGGGAATGCAAGGAAGGAGAATGGAAAGAAAAACACGGCCAGCCCTCCCTTTGCTTGGGTTACCTCTTCTGTGACCTTGACTTCTCCCCCAGGTCACTTTTATATGCCCCAACAATCATCCAGACAAAACGCAAAACACTGCAGATGCTGGAAATTTGAAACAAAAACAGAATTGGCTGTTGACTCACTTTCCTTTCTCCGTAGATGCTGGCTGACCTGCTGAATCATCCAGACAAATTGGTCATTAACCTCATAGCACCTTGTAGAACTTTATTGTGTGCAATATGTTATTGTCCCCTCTCGACTCTCTACCCCCTCCTCGCTCACTCCCTCCCCTCACCCTGACCATGTCCTCCCTGCTCGGATCCTGACCCAACTGTCCAGCGCCTTGGGACGTCCTCCCGACGTGAAAGGCGCTCCATAAATGAAATCTTGTTGTTGTTGTTGTATGTTTGTCTAACAATGTACAGCCACTACCCTTTGAGAAAAAGATGATGCAATTATCACAGATTTTATTGATTAAGCATTAGCACAGTAGATTTCTGAGATGTCATTACCTAAAATATTGAACAAAAGTTTTCAAATTGTACCATCTGGATTTCCCACAATAATCTAGGTGCAGATGAAAACATCAGTTTTACTGGGCAGACTGCACTATTGAACTGCACCAATCCTTTTTCGGCGTGCCAGCCTTGTTGCACTGTACATCATAACACGTGGCATTTGAAAAGAGTCCAAAAAAAAGCACATCACTCAGCATTATGGAAAAGATCATGCATTTCTGATTCAGATTTAACCAGAATTTTCAAAACTCTGCAGCTTGATGTCATCCAGGATGTATTCCCTGTAAGAATGCTTGATGGATGAAATCTGACCCCTGATTCCTGCTTTAACACTGTGTTATTTCTGATGGAAGCTTCCAATTGAACATATACGCGGCTGCCGAAGGTTCTGTAAAAGAAAATTGCATCTGAAGGTGACTAACTGCCACACAGTGAAATTTTATTTTTATTTCTCTAATTCTTGCTCCTCTAAATGACCCCTCCCTCCCATCTGTCCCAATCCTGCTGACAATCCAGAGCAGTAATAAACTTATAAAACAGGTTCCCCAAGGAGACGGTGGAAGCAGAAAATGTAAATTGTTTCAAGAATAAATTAGACTGATTTCTGCTAGAAAATAATATTTTGGGATACAGTATATAATTTGGGACACAATATGTCAAGCAACTGCCAGGATGGTGGAAGGCAAACTAGATGGACCTGGGTCATCATGTGCCTGGCAAATTCTTATATTCTTACGTTTTTATGGAGGTGACCTGCATTATCAGACGTGCCATCCTTTGGATGATATATTAATCAAAGGTCCACTTGCATATTAAAGATCCATGTTAGAAAAGATAAGAAAGTTTCTCCCAATGCTCAGGCTGAAATCTTTCAGGTGAATTCATAGTTTATTTCATGACTCTTCTTGGGACATTGCTGTATGTAAGTTAACTAATCTTTTTTTTACAAGCACATAATTGCCATACATGACAGCAATTACCTGTGAAGAACTTTGAGATTCCTTGCTTTTTATGAGTGCTATATCAAATTGAAGGAGTATTATATATATTTTAAAAAAGGAATTTAGTATCAGTGATACTCCAAAACTTTTCAAATTATAAATTATAATAATACATTACAGCTGCAAGAAACATTGTGCACAATTTTAAACAAAGAATGAATCTCACCTTGAAAACATGAAGGAGCTTCGATTTTCCCATCTATGCACTGAGTTAGAACTGGGTATCCACAATTATGCTTTTTATCTTCGCAGTAAAAAGCTACCATTTCTCTGTGTTGCACTCGTTTACTGGGGAGATTCTTAATCCACAGTTTTTTTCCTTTATAGAATATACGAGCTCTGTTCACACTCAGGATACATGCGGCTAAAAAACAATGACACTTCACTGATAAAAATGCAGATGTCCTTTATGTGGTTTCAGACACTTTACTGATAGCCATGGTTCTGTTTATAGCCACTATTATACCAGCTGAAGCTTACTTATATAATAATGAATGTTGTAGAGAAAGTGGTGAGTGTGTAATTCAATCATTGTCAATTAAGTTACAAGAATACAACTCCAAAACTGAATTGCAGGCTTGAACATCTCCCCCTGCATTAGTTAATTTATGAAATATTTAGTGTAGAGATGAAATGACAATGTTCGTCAGGTTTCTTGACTAAAAGAGGGCTAAAACCATGCTTAGTGTTACAGCAGTTGTCACAGCAGCAGTATACTTGGTACAACAATGCAAATGTATTCTGAAAAACAGTTCACAATGTGCTTGACACTTTTTAAGTTTATGCAAAGTAAACGTATATTCAGATGAAAAGTGCAAAATTAAAATAAACCAGGAGGTGTGGATTCAAAGCCAAATCCATTGTATCTGCTCATTGCTTGAAGCAGTGAATAAACAATGGCATAGGCAGGAATCAGGAAAGTGAGATCAGATTGGCTCAAGTGGAGAAAGAAAAGGAAACACCAGCACAAACTTAATAGGGCCAAATGACCCATTCCTGTGCTGCAACATCTCCAAATTTATAACTGCATCCCTCCAACAACAGGTATGTTCCAACCAGCAGTGAAAGTCAAACAGTGATCTGGTTCTCAAGCAGTGTGATAGCCTGTTTATACAACTTCTTTTGAGAGATACAAATAATATGTGCATAGATATAATCAATCTTACAGAGGAATGCTCACTCTGGTTTAGGGAGCATATCATTTAAATCTCATTCAAAAACAGAACAAACAATTTCTGCTCACTCAAGCCATTGTTTGTTAAAGTCTATGAAAGTTGCAAACCATCCACAAAACAGAAAGACTGGAAGAGAATGGTAAGTTAACATTTCAAATGAACTGTTCTAATTTTGGGTCACACAAAATATCAGCCTATCTTTCTCTTTCTTTTTTTTCTTTCTGATAGTGATCGACCTCTAATGTTAGGAGTTTATTTTTTTCTTACACATATTGTTTACCTATTCAAAGCATTTAGCAAAGCATGTTGTTCTGTGGAAAGAGCAACAGTTGAGACAAAATTGATTTCAACAGATCTATCTGCTCTGGTCATATGGTAATAAGAGGGAACCTGATATGTTTTTCCAATCGCCTTTCTAACCATTAATTGTGCTATAGAATTGCAAAACATTAAAGAAATCATTAAATGTATACATATTGAAATATACTGTGTGTTATTTGTACACCATCTGCAAATTGTGCTTAATGTAAATGTGTTGTGCTTTGTGTAGGATTGGTTATAATTTGCATAACTAAGGATACTTGTAATTCAGTCTGTGTGCATGCTGTTACATACATTTATTTTAGACATACACCTACATTTACACGTGCTTTACACATAATAGCCCCCCAAAAGGTATTCTATTGGAAGATAGTAACGCATTTAGGAGAAAGAATTTCATCTCATGTTTAAGTGTCCTCTCAATTCCTCAATAATTTGTTGATCAACTTAACTTAAGTTGATCAACAAATAAACACAGCTTCACAATGGGAAATCTTATAAAGATGCAGCAACAAAAAAATCACAACTTGGTAGTGGTCAATATAGGTTCCCCCCCGAAGGGCAGCACACCAGGCAGGACTCTGTGTGCTCCCACATTTCTAGTGACGTGCTCCCTCTTAAATCCCACTCCCATTTTCTTACCTCGACATACAGGCACGTCAGTCCAGTTTCCTGACTTTTGGCATGTTACATCCCTTGAACCATCCAAGACGTAGTTTTGAACACAACCATACTGAACCGACTCCAGATAGTTATAATTCCTCTTCAGTGCAAACACCAAAAATCCATTTACTATTTTTTGTGGCGAAGGACATTTCACTTCTATATTACAAAAAGAAAGGCTTTCATTTGACTTCAACATTTTGAAACAATTTTGCCTCTGTATCACACCGTACAAAGTTTCTAATCATAGTTTGCTATAATAATTGCACCACCAGGTGGTGCAAGGGCCTTTGTGGTGCAATTTGCCACAGCACTGCACTTGACAGGAATTGCTGTGGAGCACAATAAAAATTCAAGTTCTTTCATTTTAATTTTATTTAGCTGGCAGAATTACTTGCCTTTACATACTGGTGCTTGACTCCACTTCCCGCTGGCCAGGCAGAAGCTTGTTTCATTCCCAATCAAAGCCAAGCCTTGGTTACAACTGTAAGTGACGCTTTCCCCAAAGACTGGAATATCAGTGGCTCCGTGTGGATTGGAAAATTTTATGCTTCCATACATAGGCAGAGTGGGGGGAGAACATCGGACAGCTGGAGAAGAAAAGAAAGTCAACTGACAGCACTGGTATGGATGAGTCTTGAGCACTTACTAGGTCTAGGTAATTCTGATCACCAAGATTTAGAGAGAGATAGTAAAAAATTACGATTTATTAGTATTCATTTTGTTTATTAGGTCAGCTGGGTGTCTGACACATGCAGAAACCCATCACCACGCTTAAGAATATCCAAACCAAACTGAGAATTCCATGCGTCCCACCTACAATTTGAATCCTTGGGCTAGGTTGAGTTAGCTCAGCTCAGTTGAGGCAGCAGGTTAGGTAAGGTGCTACAATTGGTCTTGCGCTCTGGGATAGGGGAGAAGAGGGCTTCTCCATCCTGACCTCTCCAAATACCTGTTGCTGTAAAGTATGTATGCATAGAGGGCCCACATTTTTGTAAGTGTCAAGAAAATGATTTTCCCACTTCAAACACACATCACTAATGTTGCTACACATATTACGAACAGGAATTTAGCCCTCAAATGACAGGATGGGGTCTCTCCTCTGCAGGTGAATAGCATGCTGACATGATATTCGAGGCTCACAAATAAAAAATAGCCACTGGGTGAGTTACTGAAGGCTGACTGGTGTTCATGGAATTGTAGCCCAGCATGAATCAGTGATTTCATAGAGTAGAGAAAAACTGAAAGGAATAAAAACAAGTTGTGATGCTTTATATACTATTTAACCCTGTACATGGCAAGACTTACGTTCACAGCTGCGTTGCAAATCACTCCACATCGTATCTGATTGGCAGTAACTGCTGTTTTTGCCCCTAAGAATGTATCTGAAGTAGTAAAGCTAGGCGTTACCATTAGAGCTAGAAAACATGGAATTCACACACACCTCCAGATATAATGCAAATCACCACAAAACCTTTACCATACAGGTTTTAACTTGATTACTAGAGACACATTGGGGTTAAGCCCATTCCTGCGAGTTTCCTTATTCCATACACCTCTGTTTACCTAGCAGTAAGTAAGTGGTTGTTAGCTGATTGGCGGATTGCTTTTCCAAGAGTAATAATTCCTTCAAAAAATAATAATAATGATAAATTGGTCACTTTAATCTACGACTATTTGTGGGACACTGCTGTGCTAATTGGCTGCTGTGTTTTGCTCACAAAATATACAGTCAATTCACTTTACAGTATACTCTGTGAAGCACTTTGAGACGTCTCAAAGATGTGATAAGATGCTATATCAAATGCAAGAATTACTATTATATGTTATATTTTATTCAGATAAAAATGCCTTGGAAATTTAAGAAAATGTTGCCATTGTCTCAAAAATGCTACAAGAATATTGGATTGGCAACTCAAGTTTCAGCGCCTTGGGACATCCATCAGACATGAAAGGCACTATACAAATGTAATTTGTTGTTGTTGTTTAGTCCCACTCGTGTTCGCCTCTGCTGATTGATTGGCTTTCATCCAAGGTGGATCTTGAGGAGCAGGAGAAAACAGAACTTTTTGATATTGTCATTGTTACATCGTCTTTGCATATTACTTACCCTTCATTGCAACTGTAATAAACCGTTTTCCCAAATTTGAACTCAGTTGAATGCATCATTCCATTTTCCAATACTTGTGGTATGGGACAAGGCTTTGCTGTTAGACATGAAAAAAAATAATTATTTTGTCCTGTTGTTTGGTATGGTACAGATGAATATCACTGCAAGTGTACATAGAATAATTAATGTCTGGCTATGACCTGCAATCAAACAGACCTGAACATTTCATAAGTAGTCAAAGAGAGGCTCAAATGATTAATGAATATCAGTCACTTCCAAAGTTGAATTGATGATTTAAACTCTCTGCTAAACAGTCTTTATATTATATATTGAATTATTTCTTTAAAATTTCTCCAAAATTTTCTTACCATTCTATTGGTCATTATGAATCATTTTATGTTGGGAAATAGACATTAGATTTTCAGAAATAAACTATTGTGTCTGTATTTTCCAGGGATAGTTGATGTGTTGCTGTTGAATATGAAAATTATCTCTCAGAGAGTGAAGTTGAACACAGAAGGTCCACCTCATTAAAAGATTCAATTGCTGCCTTTTGTCAAATTACATTTCAATATTTGCACAGAGATTTGTAATTGAAAATAATATATTTTTGGCATCATGATGCTCAGAAGTGTCAGTGTGAGTGCAGATAAACATTACACCTATTGGCACAAAGCTCATTGGGCTCAAGTTTCATTCAGCAGTTGTGGGAAATGGGAATAATGTGTGTTTTGTTGGTTAGGCTAAGGTGCATTTTAGGGACAGACCAAAAAGAAGTGTTCTCTGTGTTTAATTGATATGATACCTGACTGGTGAGTGCACTCAGCTTCAGGGAAATGTTGACATTGATAAATGGCAACAAGTCACACAAACATGTTCAAATATCGGTCAAGACTGGCATATATCAAAATTGGTCACATTTTTCAAGCACGATGAATTATTCATACTTCCAGTGAGAGACGCTTGTAGGTCAACTTGATCCTGACATTGAGTGCTAAACGTATAAAAGTGTTTGATTCCCAAGCACTAATGTCTTTCACCTTGATGACCGTTCCCTCCAAAAAAGAAATGAAATGAAATGTCATGCATCTCACTCGTCTGTATACAAAATATCAGCTGAATGCCTCTAGGTATGCTCTGGTTACACACTGAAATCTAATCAAGGGCTTCAAATGGTTTATATATTTTTTGATAGAGAAACAGGGTGAAGGGCCAAGGCTTATAATGTAAAACATTTTCAAGGTTGAACTGAGAAGAAGAGGAAAACAAGATAAATAGCAATTGGGTTTTAAATGGCTAAAGATTGTTGGAAGAAAAGGAAAATAATGGCAGTGAATAGTTCCATGGTCTTGAAGTCTTGGGAAAGAAGGAGTTAGAAGAGACTGTGTATTGGTTCTTTATTTTGAAACATATAGAACAATAGATATCCAGAAATAATTACAGGACAGTAATCATGTCAAGTATCTCCTATGTGTGGAATAATCCTTACGGGAGATAATTATATATTTTTATTTAATGAGTTTATATTTCGGGTAATGGATATTGGGAGTGATTTTTCTGCTTTTTTTTGGTTTTATTACACATCTGCCTTCAGAGCCTCGTGTTTGCGCTGTGTATCAAAAAATCCCCTGGGTTATATGTCCTAAATTGCGTATTATGGGTTGGTTTTATATTGTGTGAGGTTCAATTGCCAGTCCTGTTGTGCTCACGTTGTTGATCACATTGAAGGAGTAATACACGTCGGATTTTGAGGGGTAGAAATTGTACGGTCAGAGTTTATTAAGGCACTAACTGATTGCAGAAAGGAATTCCTGTTCAGGGTGTAACTTGACGTTTGTGATTCATCTGAGTTTAGTATTGATTCACTTACGTTCACACTTAATACCAGGTTTATTCCATCGCGCGTTTTTGGGGCACACAATCCTGTTCCGACCAATTCCCATGTAGCCCACATTGCAGGAGTACACCGCTTCTTCACCGGGTTCATAGATCACTTTCACACCCACAACATGTGCGTTCACTATGAGTGGTGGAGTGCCACATGCTAAAGGGAAAGGAAAAGTACGTGTTGTGTTGTGTTACGAGCTCCAACTTTTATTTCTCTCTCATTTTTCACTACGTTACCCTTTAATTATAAATTATAAACAAATGCAACATTCAAAACCACAGCCCCAGCTCCAACTCCCGGCCACAGCTTCTACATGCAAACCCCAATCACAGCTCCCCAGGTCTGAGCTCTGCTGGGACTCCAGTCGAACCTAATATTAACCTTATCGTTCCAGGGTTACGGTGGGGGGGGGGTGTTAGGGTGCCCATTCTAATCGCTATCCATTGATCCCTACCATGGGAATATTGAGTGAGACCAGGAACAGGCTCAGAGGTGATGATACATCCCAAACACACACACACACACACACACACTCGCTGTTCAGGCTCATGCACAAATAACATACAAGGTCCTAACTCTTAAGTGAGCAGAACCACACTCACTCACTTAAGAGTTAGCAAAGATTGAAAGACGGCCAGGTGAGCTGGGGGGGTGTGGGGGGGTGGGGGAGCACGTTTGGAGGAGGAAAAAAGATAGCTTTGGAAATAAGCAACCTCTAAAATTCACCAAAGCTTGGATTCCAAGGCTCACTTACCTGCCTGGACAGGTTCGAAAAAGCAAACTCGATACACCGCAGCAAAGAGAAAGTACTTATTGAGAATATTCCACATCTTTCAACACTCAACTTGTGGACGTTACAAAACCGGTTGTTGTTACAGGCGGATCGCTGGTGGAGCCTGAGGTGACTTGGCAGCACCTATAGGGCAAATGGTTTTATTGACCAACGGATGAATAGTTCACTGACTTGCGGGAATGTGACTGCACAATCCTGGTATTTTTGAAAGATTGTGAAACTTTTTGGTACAGGTATTTCTCAATCAGCGTAGTTCTAGAATAAACATGCAAGTTTCTTTCCAAAAAAGGTAAAGAGTGTCCTGACAGCCGTTTAGATCGGAGCTGTATTATATACAGTATAATACACCATAATATATTATATATTTACACAGCTGAAATTTATTCAAAAGGTTCCGATTGCACCATAAACACAGCATGGGTGATATTGAAGAGTATGTTGCGTGTATATGTGTGTGTGTGTGTGTTTGTGTATGGGGAGGGATCTTTCCTTTATTCAATATTCCTTCAAAATTCTCAATAATAAAGAACAACATTCACCACATTGTCTCTCAAGCATTCATTATTCCCAACATTGATGGCTGATGGGGTACTTGGTGTTGCTCTGTGACTGTCCAAGTGCATTAGAGTGAACTCTTTCTCCATTTACCACAGGTCACTTGGAGGAAAATGGCTCAAGTTCCATTCAGCTCTTTACCACAAAAGCTGTTTTGGCTGAGAACAGGAACTCCACAGAGCGGACACCAAATTGGGCAACCCACTATGCTTGCCCTGCCAACAGTGATCCTATCGCAGCCCCTGGAGAATGTCCATGTTAATGTCCTCTGAGAATGGGTCTCCTGTGAAAAGCGTTAATTAATTGGCTTATACTAAGTAGTTTTGCCCACAAAGTATACAGTCAATTCACTTTACAGTATATTCTGTGAAGGGCCTTGAGAAGCCCCGAAGACGTGATATTGTGCTATATCAAATGCAAGGATTTATTATTATTATTATTAGCTAGCTAGCTAGCTAGGTAGATGGATAGATAGATAGATAGATAGATAGATAGATAGATAGATAGATAGATAGATAGATAGATAGATAGATAGATAGATAGATAGATAGATAGATAGATAGATAGATAGATAGATAGATAGATAGATAGATAGATAGATAGATAGATAGATAGATAGATAGATAGATAGATAATTAATGGTTTACGCGTTGTTAGGAAGAGCTGTTAGCATGTTTTATAGGTAAATCTTCTGTGAATTTATGGGGAAATATTGAGCCAGGTTGACTTTTACCAGTGCAATAAACTTTACAAAGTTACAGTTTAACTTAAAGTAAAGATTGCATTACACACTTGGCCTTTCAAATCAACTTCAAGCTGAGATACAGAACTAATGTTTTGGTTGATGTTGAAACACCCCATAACTCTGTAGCTGTGAGCACTGAGTGCTGCCAGTGCCAGAATAATCTAAAGAACTTCCTTTGCTACTTTATGTCCCATTAAAATCCTCTCGCTGAACATTTTGTTAGTGAGGAGTGTTGGATGAAAGATTGTCACCTGCCCCTTGATATCCCCTGCTTATCAATTCCCTAATGGGAAGGGGAACTTAACTGGACTGACAACGGGAAGCTCATCAGTACCTTATATCGGTAATTTGCATGGTTTTAGTTGGTTTAATTGCAGAAGTATCCCCAATATGCACTTCCTTAATGCCTTAGTTTCTGTACTCTGAGCAAAAGCAAGCTGTGTGTGTGTGTGCTTGTGTTTGTGTTTGCATGTATGTATATGCAAATATAATGAATATATAACACATATATATATATATATATTTATAATCTTGTTCTGCTACCTGCTGAGGGGGGCTGGGGTTGTGGGTGAGGACATTACACATACCAGGAATGGCGAGCAGAAACTCTGCTTTTGTGAGGCCTCAGTGCTGGAACTGGAGGAGTTTCCTCAAAGGTAAGTTGCGTAAGCTTGTCTGCTTATGTCAGTCAAAATATTTTTTCTACATGTTCCTGTTGCACAGTAGCAACAACAGCAATAAAATTACATTTGTTTAGCGCCTTTCATGTCAGGAGGACATCCCAAGGCGCTGGACAGTCAGTGTTTTGGACCCAAGCTGGGGGTCGGGGAGGGTGGAAGGCAGTGGGGGGAAGCAGGGCTATCAAAGCACGGTCGAAGAGGAGGGTCGGGGTGAGGCGGAGGAACTGTGGGATGGAGTTTCAGACAACAACAACAAAATTAAATTTATAGAGCGCCTTTCACATCGCTGAACAGTCAGGTGTCGGGGCCCAAGCATGGGAAAGGGGTGGTGTAGGGGTGAGGGAAGGCAGAGAGGTGGGAGGGAGACCAAAGGCACGGTCGAAGAGAAGGATCTTGAAACCGGTCTTGAAGGAGGCGAGGGAGGAAGTGAGTCGAAGGGACCGTGGGATGGAGTTCCAGAGTGTAAGGGCAGAGAGGCTGAAAGCCCGGCCATCGATGGTAAGGTGGGTCGGGCGGGAGACATGGAGCAGGTCGGAGCCCGGTAAATGGAGGGAGCAGGCAGGTTGGTAGGGAGTCAACAGGTCAGAGAGGTTGGAGGGGGCAAGGCCATGGAGGCCTTAAAGGTGAGGAAGAGGATCTTGAACTCGATGCTCTGGGGGATGGGGAGCCACTGGAGTCAGGCGAGGGTGGGCGTGATGGGATCACGGAGTCTGGTGCGTGAGAGTGCACGAGTTTTGGATGATCTGCAGCTTGTGAAGGGAAGAGTTGGGAAGGCCGATGAGGAGGGAGTTCCAGTAATCAAGCCTTGAGGTGACAAATGCGTGGATGAGGGTTTCAGCAGCCTGAGGTGAGAGGCAGTGGCGGAGTCTGGCAATGTTGCAGATGTTGAAGTGGTGGTAGGCAGTGCCGGTCATGCGCGGATGTGGGGGAGAAAGGACAGTTCAGGTGAAACAAGAGGGCCTCAGTCTTGCTGATGTTGAGTTGGAGAAAGTTGGCTCTCATCTAGGACTTGATGTCAGACAGGCAGTCGGTCAGGACGCCAGTAGTCCTGGAGTTCAAGGTGGAGGCAGAGAGATAGAGTTGGGTGTCATCTGCATGCATGTGGAAATTTACCCCATGTCTGCGGATGATGTCACCAAGGTGGAGCATGTAGAGGGTGAAGAGGAGGGGACCGAGGACAGAGCCCTGAGGAACACCGCATGAGACAGTGCGGGGGGCTGGAGTAAAAACTGTTTGCCACGACGAAGTGGAGGCGGTGTGAAAGGTAGGACCTGAACTAGTCCAGGTGGGAGGAGAGACGGTGGAGGAGGATTGAGTGGTTCACAGTGTCAAAGGCGACGGAGAGGTCGAGCAGTACTAGGAGGCAGAGGGAGCCCTGGTCACACATGGTCAGGATGTCGTTTGTGACCTTATCCAGAGCAGTTTCCGGGGTGTGGGCAGCACAGAAACTTGATTGGAGGGGTTCATGGAGGGAGTGAGAGGAGAGGAAAGAGCGAAGCTGGGAGGCCGCAGCTCTCTCAAGGACCTTGGATAGGAAGGGGAGATTTGAGATGGACCGGTAGCTGGACAGCTGTGATGGATCGAGGGAAGGTTTCTTCAAGGTGGGGGTGATAGTGGCTGTTTTGAGGGGGGAAGGAACAATACCAGATGACTGGGAGAGGTTAATGATGTCGGCGAGTAGTGGGGCAAGGAGGTGGAGCTGGGATTTAAGGAGAGGGGTTGGGATGGGGTCGAGGAAGCAGGTGAACTTCATGGAGTCGAAGACAGAGGAGGGGGTGACAGGTTCAAAGGTGTGGAAAGAGGAATGGGTAATTGTCGGATGGGTAATTATGTGGGGTGGGGGTAGGGAGGGATTGGAAGTTGGGAGGGCATTGGCAGCTGAGCGGATTCCCTCGATTTTGGACTTGAGAAAGTCCAGCATTTTCTCGCAGTGAGAGTCAGAGGAAAGTATCTGCAAGGTGTGGCGGGGAGGGCAGAGGAGCCGGTTAGTGGTGGAGAACAGGAGCCTGGGATTGCCTTTCGCCTTCAGGATTAACCTGAAACAGAAGGATGATTTGGCTGAGGTGAGAACAGAGCAGTAGTTCTTGATGAGGTCCAGCCAGATGTGGCGGTGGACCGTTAGGCCGGATTTGAGCAAAGTGAGTTCGGCAGAGGGTGGGGGCAGAGTGGTAGAAGACCCGCTCACCATTAGTGGGGCGAGCAAGGCGGGGGACGTGAAGCAGGCCAGAGCCTGCTGAGTGGAGGGAGTGGGCAGGATGGTAGGGGGTTGGGAGGTCGGAGAGGTAGGGGGGAGTAAGACCATGGAGGGTTTTGAAGGTGAGGACCATTATCTTGAACTGTGGTGGGAAATCAGTGGAGTCGGGCGAGGAAGGAGGTGATAGGGTCACGGATTCTGGTGCAGGAGAGGACATGGGCTGTAGAGTGCTGAATGATCTGCAGCCTATGGAAGGAGGGGTTGGGGAGGCCGATAAGCAAGGAGGTTGCATAGTCAAACCTGATGTGATTTAATTAGAAAGACATTTGATTCCCCACTGGAGGAATGTTGTGGATAGGAACTAACAACATGCCTCTCCTAATAATACATCAGCACTTTCTCATCTCGCTCTACCACACATCAATGATTTTTCTTTATTTGTGTTCCAGTTACTTTTGAAAGGTCTTGGCAGCAGACAAATTATTTTTATCACAAATGTGAAAAGAAATCAATTATAGTCAAAGTCGTTTACCACTTCTGCTTATTTTAATCTACAGGAACCCGTATAGCTGCCTTGTTCTGTAGCTGCAAAACAGAACCTGCAAGCTGTGTGCCTGGCAAATACAATTATTCGCATGCAGTCTATAACTTATGGGTGTTTTTGGTAAAAAGAATATCTGATACTAGAATCCTAATTGTTGGATATTCACCCCCCCACCCCCCCACCCCACCACAAACACACACACGCACGCACAGAGAGGGGTGGTGACAGACTTGAGTCATACAGGGTATTATTAGAGGTTTTCATTCAAGGTCAGCATAAAACTAATACGAAACTGTGAGTTTTGCATTGAATGCCAACTTGCACTCTCAGGCTCTGTTCACAGCTAAACCATCTGAGTGTGGGCGAGGCTTGGAGAAAAGGTCAGGCATATATCCATCATTAGCTTTCAGGTTAAATTTGCAAGATATTTGCATCTGGCATTTATAACATGCAGCTGTAAATATGGATTAGTCCGTAAGCTTGCTGCTTACAGCCCCAGAGATGAGTAGAGCGGTTTCCTTCTTGTAGATCTATCTGATCAGCTGTGTTCGTGTTTGAAAGTTGGACGCCAGGTGCCAATTCTCAGTAGATGATGTGTGAGAAACAGGGCACTTACTCACTGTCCTTCACTGGTCATATTCCCCAACCCTGTCAGTTGGGGGAAGAACATTCAACACCAACAAAGAAATATAAAATACAAACTCACATTTGTAAAGCACCTTTCACACTGGGAGGACGTCCAAAGACATTGGACAGTCAGATATTTGGACACGAGCAGGGGTGTTGACACGAGCAGTGAGCGTGAAGGATAGGAGGGTTGGCAAAGATGCGGGGAAGAGGAGGATCTTAAGACGACAACAATTTGCATTTATATAGTGCCCCTCACGGACGGTATAGAGTCTCAGAGCGCATTCATTTAAACAGCTCATGCCTCCCACATATACCACAGTGATTGCAGCCTGCCAACCATTTATTCCATCTCGCCGCAGAGTGCAGAAGATAAAACTCAGACTCTTGCATTAGTTTGTTGCTGCTTCAGGTGTTGCGAGCAAAGGGGTTATATTAAATTACAATTAAGAATAGTTGCATGTTTTGACATTTTGGATTGTATTTTTAAAAAGCCGTGAACAGGAAGAGGCAGCCATTGAAATGGAACCACCAATTAATGCCACATAAACTGCGCAGTCCAAATTCTATGAATAAACCTGTTAAAGAGCTTCCCGTCGATTAGCGAGGTGGCAACATACAATCAAGCTGCTTTCACAGTGGCAATTAAAGAGGCAATGCCAATGTCCATACTGTAACATAGCTTCCAAACACTTGACCACAGTTAGTTGAGCAGACAGGGTTTGACGTTAATGTTAACAGTGTCGTAATGACACCATTCATAAAATCCAATAATAACATGAAACAACTTGAGATATAAAACCCGCACAACATTGATTTCGAAGCACTGGTATACAGCAAGAATAATAATACTAATCCTTGCATTTGATATAGCGCCTTATCATGTTGCTGAGACGTCTCAAAGCTCTTCGCAGGATATTCTGTAAAGTGAATTGACTGGGTATTTTGTGAGCGAAATGTCCAGCAAGAACCACGCCATCTATTAGAACAATTGCCCTCAAACCAGTTACTCTGAGTAGTGACTTGACATTTTATGTGTCAAACTGTTAACACAAGCTACCTCACAGACCGACATTTACAGTCTATTATAATCATGACAATCAATTTATTTATTGAAATTTAAATACTGTGTTTATTAACACTTTCAACGCAACATTATACAAAGTCAAAGCAAATGCTCTTAGGCAGCTAATTTACCAGGTAAGCTATGTTCTTTCAAAAGAGCATCAGTGCTTCCCAAAAAACACACTGGGGGATCCTTTGCAGTATTTTCTTTCTCTCTCTGCAAGCTTTTCATTCTGAAAGCAAGTGATACATTTTCACCCACAAAATACACAGTCAATTCACTTTGCAGTATATTCTGTGAAGCGCTTTGAACATCTCGAAGATGTGACGATGCGTTATGTCAAATGCAAGAATTATTATTATTACTATTATTATTAGATTATTATACAAGGAGTGATTAGCCGTTACACTTACAGAAACTTGCACTCGCAGTTCAATTCCTGTGTGAGCCGAGAAAGTTCTCTAACATGCAGTTTCAATTTAGAAATTCCAAAAATATAGAATAAGATTTATGCTGTGTGAGCCCTCTCTCCAAGACCTCCCACACATCTGCATAAAGCTTATTTGATATTCGTTCTAAATGCAAACATCCCATTAGGCTGGATCCAAGCGTGTCTGTAGCCGGGGTGCTGCCTGTCCATGCATTTTTCTTTACTTCCTATGCTTTGCACGCTAGTACGGGACTCTGCTCAGCTTATTGTAACAACATAATAATAATAATAACCTTGCATTTGATACAGTGCCTTATCACGTCCTTGAGACGTTGGAAAGCACTTCACAGAATATACTGTAAAGTGAACTGACTTGTGTATTTTCTGGGCGAAATGCATCAGCCAATTGCGCACAGCGGTGTCCCGCAGACAGTCGTGGATTGAGTGACCAAATTATTTTTTTAATTTATTTTTTATCTCTGCACCAGGAATGCAGCCGATTATGGGACTATCTTCATAATTAAATCCTTTGTGGGTTTAAACAAGCTTGATAAGGCAATGAATCACGCTATCCTGTACAAATGCTCAGGTGTCGTGGAAATAGTTGTGGGGAATGAATGGAGGTTGGGCATAGCAAGTTTGTTCAGAGGAATAGCCACAACAACCTGCTGTCCAGGAAGGACAAGAACTGCACAGTGCAGATTATAGTTTGGTGTTTATAGAAATTCTGTCTGTCCAGCGCCTTGGGACGTCCTCCCGCCATGAAAGGCGCTGCAAAAATGTAATTTTGTTGTTGTTGCTGTTGGTGTGAGAGGATATATTCCAAATACACAAATGAAGGAGGGACACCAAGCAAGAATTGACCTCTTCGGTCATCAGCGTGTCCAAAATTGGCCGATTAAGGTAAAGAAACAACAATGAAATGACTTTAAAAGGAGCACAAAGCCACGTGCATTTAATATGGTCACATTTTGGCTTTTTTTCTTGGAGGTGGGGTGATTGCCTGTTACTTCTTTTTTTTTAGTTGTCACAGACACCGGTTGACATCTTGTGGTGATGTCCTGTTGGCATTTGCCTTCTGTGTGAACTTGTTCTGTAATTCGAATCTTCTGCATTTTCTCGGGTCATTAAGTCAATGCATCGATATGGTCTTGTGACCAGTAGTCTATGTATAGGATCTGCATAATTTCTAGCCTCTGGCTAATTTGTCCCCAAACATCTGTTAAAGAACTCTATTTACATAACTGTCTAAAACCCGGTAGCCAGCTCTGCGGTTATTATTATTGGAGCTATGTAGAGAGGTCTCTACAAGAAAGCTTTTCTTTTGCAGGTGTTGCAGATTCTGCACCTCATTAAAAACATTTGACCGACATGTTTTCTCTTAGCATCTGCCTTGTTATCGATGCGGCAGAGCAATAGAATATCTGCCACATGTTTCAATCTAGTTTTCCAAGCCAAACTGGCTCCCAACAGATGCGATCAGAAGAGGAGAGCAGGTGAAGGATGCTGCATAAATGCAAGTTGCAGTTGTTGTGGATACTGCAACAGGGCAAAAGGGGAGTAATTGGAATTTGAGGTCCAGATCAGCCATGATCTAACAGAACGGTGGAGCGGGCTCGAGGGGCTGAATGGTCTACTCCTGTTTCTATGACTCCTTATCGGGGTGTGGAAGTGAGGAATGTTGGGTTTGGACGGAGACTTGCCTATAGGGCCTTTTTGTACCATTATTATCACACGCACCCTACACTAAGTAGTTTACTCTGAGTGATACGTAACTACCACGAATTAATTATTCATGAATTTTATTAACACAACAGCAGAAATCGTATTTTTATCTCCCTCCCCCGCCACACCCCCACCTCCGCCCCTGCCCCCCTCAAGTTTCTTCTGATGAATTCTTCCAGAGCAGAAGATGGGACCTTAAAGACTGCATCTTTATTTGGCCAGAGATCCTCTCTCAAACCGCCTACGGTCACATTACACGAAAAGCTCGTTAACATACCTTGATACACTCCCCCCCCCCCCCATCCCCGTGTGTGTGTGTGTGTGTGTGTGTGCGTGTGGGGTGGGGTGGGGGGGGCGTGCGCGTGTGTGGGTGTGTGTATATGCAGGTTACAGGATCTATAATAATAATAATAAATCCTTGCATTTGATCCAGCGCCTTATCCCGGCTTTCAGACGTCTCAAAGCGCCGCGCGGAACACGCCGCGGAGCGTAGTGACTGTGTGTTTCGCGGGCCAGGATTATTTGACGAGAGTGCAAATCAGCGTCGGGAGCCGGGTGGGGGGTGGGGGTGGGGGTAGGAGGTGTGGGTGAGTGAGTGAGTGAGTGAGTGAGTACACAGGGAGTTGAGTACACGAGTGGGGGGTGGGGTGAGGTGTGAGTACAGCACAGCCCTGAGAGAGAGTGAGAGAGAGAGAGGGTAACTTACAGGTGAGGGTGGAGGGTGCAGTGAGAGGATGGGGAGGGAAGGGGGTGGGTGGGGGTGGGGCGGCAGGGGGCGCTCGCGGGCCGCCAAGCGGGCCGGATTGGGTTGGGTTGGGGTTGGGGGCTGGATGGAGGGAAGGAGGGAGGAGAGAGAGAGAGGGAGGAGAGAGAGAGGGAGGAGGGAGGGAGGAGAGAGGGAGGGAGGGAGGGAGTGACGCTCAGGCGCACGGTGCGTCTTGGCCGGTGGCGGAGCCGCAGTTGTGAGCGGATAAAGCGGCGCGCGGATAAAGCGGGAGCCCGGGCTGCCCTCTCGCCTTCACTCGGCACCGCCGCCGCTTCCGTGCAGCTCCCGAGTCGAAAATGGCCGACGTGGAAGGGACGGAGACCCTGGACGTGGGGAACCGGTTCGCCCGCAAAGGCGCCCTCCGCCAGAAGAACGTCCACGAGGTGAAGGACCACAAATTCACGGCGCGGTTCTTCAAACAGCCGACATTCTGCAGCCACTGCACCGACTTCATCTGGTGAGAGGGACCACTCCACTCCCTTCCCGTTCCCCCTCTCCTCCCTCTCTCCTCTCTCCTCCTTCCCCTCCTCTTCTCCCCTCTCTTCCTCTCTCATCCTTCCCCTTCTCTTCTCCCCTCTCTCCTCTTCTCCCCTCTCTCCTCTTCTCCCCTCTCTCCTCTTCTCTCCTCTCTCCTCTTCTCCCCTCTCTCCTCTTCTCTCCTCTTCTCCCCTCTCTCCTCTTCTCTCCTCTTCTCCCCTCTCTCCTCTTCTCCCCTCTCTCCTCTTCTCTCCCCTCCTCTTCTCCCCTCTCTTCTCTTCCCTCCTCTCCCTCTCTCCTCTCCCTTCTCTTCTCTTCCCTCCTTCCTCCTCTCCCCTCTCTCCCTCTCCTCTCTCCCCTCTCTTCTCTTCCCTCCCTCCCCTCCTCTTCTCCCCTCTCTCCTCTTCTCTTCCCTCCTCTCCCCTCTTTCCTCTCCCCTCTCTTCTCTTCTGTTCCCTCCTCTCCTCTCTTCTCTTCCCTCCTCTCCCTCTCTCCCTCTCCCCTCTCTTCTCTCCCTCTCCTCCTCTCCCTCTCCCCTCTCTTCTCTCCCTCTCCCCTCTCTTCTCTCCCTCTCCCCTCTCTTCTCTCCCTCTCCCCTCTCTTCTCTCCCTCTCCTCCTCTCCCTCTCCCCTCTCTTCTCTCCCTCTCCTCCTCTCCCTCCTCTCCCCCTCTCCCCTCTCTTCGCCCTCAAAAGTTTCTGTCTGAGCTCCTCGGGCTTTCTTTCTGCTTTCGAGTCGACCCATTTTTTTTAAAAAAATGTGCGTTCCCCAGAAAAAAAGAGAAAAAACTAATGCCTTTCGATTTTTTTTAAAAAAATGAACTTATTTCTAATACTCGTGACTTGTTTTTTTTCCACACACTCTGTCCCTCTGTCTCTCTCTCTCACACTCTCTCCCCTTTTTTTTTCTCTCTCTCTTTGCAGGGGATTTGGCAAACAAGGATTCCAGTGTCAAGGTATGTATGTGAAAGCAGGAAGACCAGGCTGTGCGTGTGAGAGAGTGAGTGTGTAAGAGAGACAGAGAGAGAGAGAGAGAAAGAAAGTAATCTTCTTTCTCTCTCTCTCTCCTCGACTCAGTGCCAGAGGGTTTATCTCTCTCTGGATCTGTCTGTTGTGTCTCTGACTCTTTTCCTCTCTTCCCCCACAACTCTCAGTTGTCTATTTTGTACAGTGGTGTTGAAATGTTTCCGAAAAATTGTTCCTCTGAAGGGGAAAATGGGTGTGTGACGTTGTGTGTGTGTGTGTGTGTGTGTGTATATATATATATAATAAAGAAAAAGGCAAAGCTGTTTGCTTGTGTTGGATAGGTAGTTTTGCTTGGGATTTCACCCCAAAATACCCAGTCCATTCACTGCACAGTGTATTCTGTGAAGCGCTGTGATGTTACAGGCGCTATACATGGAATGAAAATATTATTCTTTTTTGTTATGGGATTTGGGTAACTCTGTATTAAAGCCTCGAGCTACATTGTAGTGTATCCAGTACTGGCACTTGCTTTGTAGTGCAAATGCTCTCTTCCTTTGACTCCCTTGTTACTAAATTCTCTGAGGTTGGGTCAAGAGGAAGTTTGAGGTGCAGTTTTTTTTTAGTCTTTGAATGCTTTCTTCTCTTCCTCCTGTTTTTTTTTCTTAACGTTTGTGGGACGTTGCTGCGTGCAATTGGCTGCTGCTTTTCTCCCACAAAAATATACCGTCAATTCACTTTACCGTATATTCGCCGAAGCGCTTTGAGACGTCTCGAAGATGTGATAAGGTGCGATATTAATGCAAGGATTTTTTTTTTGAAAGGGCAGGGCATGTGTGAGCTATCAATCTGTTGTGTTGCTATCTTTTCTCCACCTGACTAGAGTTGTGTGAATGGAGAGTTCGAGTCGGTCTCTCACACACATAGTTAGTGCTTTTTCTCTTCTCCCCCCTCCCTCTCTTCTGTGTCCTGTAATTTATGGCACAGACTTGCACGGCAACGCTCCCTTTATGCCAAAAAAAATGATCTAGAGGTTTATAGTGAACCAGTTTTGAACATGTACAAGGAATTTTGTTTGGATCAGGAGGACTGGGGAGAGGTAATTGTTGTCGTCATTAAGGCAGGAATCGAGGACTTGCGATTCTTTGGAACTTTTGGCTTCACAAACTGAGTAAAGGGATGAATTGAATTAGCTGACTTTCTCTCTCTCTTACCATTTCCACTCCCCAGCTCCCCCCGCCTTCCTCCCAGCTATAGACAGCATGGCGGTTTGTTTAGTAATCAGTAACTAGCAATTTATCTTAAAGTTGTAGAGTTTGCTATTTTATTGAATTTTCCCGAGTGTCGTGTCATACGATCCTAGAACTGTACTGACTGGCACCTGAATGTGCTACGTATGCTAAGCAATACTGTACCTTCAACCATGAAATCAAAACCTTGGCATTTGTTCTATTTTTGTTGATGATTAATTTTTCTTTTAAGAATTTAGTTTAGGTATTCAACTGTAAAAAAAAAAAAAATCAGCATTAGGTGGGAAATTGCTCCTTTTTTCACACTCAAAAATACGTTCCCCCAAAACAACCAATAAATCAAGTCGTGCTATAATTTGAGCTCCTTGCAGACTCATTTTGGTGATTGATTTCAGCGCAGCGTATATTTCAAAATGACCCGTACTTTGTGGTGTACAAGACATTAGCAGAGTGTACAAGCTTCCAGCAGGATTAACTGTCAATGTGCACACAGCAATGTCCCACAAACAACCATGAAGTAGATGTGTAATTTTATCAGGGGGATTGCTTGCCAGGATATTGAGAGCAACTCCCTTCTCTTTTTGAATGGTAACATCAGATCTTTAATGTCCACCTAACCAGGGAGGATAGAATTCCTAACATCTTATCCTAAGGACGGTGGCTCCAACGATGCAATGTTCCAACTTCATAAAAGAGTGTCAGCCTAGTCCGAGTTCAAAGTCCCCGTAATTACAGGAGGGGACTTATTTTGAATGCGTAGCTATGTAAGTGGTCAATCCATCTGCCATTTGGTAACGTAGCAATTCAGAAGAAGGGCTCGGCTCAGGGCTCTTACACTGCACAGCCCTGAGCCCCGAGCAGCGGGAGTTTCCGAGGCGCTGTGCTAACCTGCGATCGATGAAACGGCCTCCGTAATGGACGCTATTCGGTGGCCGGATGTCGCGCGGCGCTCTGAAGACGAGCTGGACATTTCAGGGTGAAGGAAGAGAGCATTTCCGTTTGGCTTCTGAACGAACGTCGAGAAGTGTGGCTGTCGGGACTGAATCCGATTCACACAACAATAATAATAATAATAATAATAATCAGCAACTGTTCCTACTGTTTTCAAACATGTATTCTGAGAATTGTTGCGTTGTGTCAATTTAGAAAAACTCTTTAGTTATGGTAACAATTTAACTTAAACTCTTCAGCAGCTACTGTTACAAATGTTGGTGACTTTAGGAAGTGAAACTTTCACTGTTTGTTTGTTTGAGTCTCAATGTAGCCGGCGACGGATGTTAAAATAGGCACAGTAGTCCATGAAAGAATCCTAGGGTTCTACTTCAATTCAAGTGGTAAATCATAGCCCAATAATGTCCAATTGTTCTGTGTTTAACTCCTTTATCACAGCAGTGTTGACATGCTGTTCGATGATAATAATACTCCTCGCATTTGACGTAGCGCCTTACGTTGTTGAGACGCCTCAAAGCGCTTCACAGAATACATTGGATAGTGGAGTGAGGGTGTATTTTGTGGGTGAAATACACAGTCACTGGGTGCTCCTGTTTATCAGCGACTGGGATTTGTGGTAAAGAGGTTGGATCAAACTTTACCCCAAATATCTTCTGATAAATAAATCTTAAACGGATGTCTTATCTGGAAAAATATGGAGTTGAGCAATTGTAGAAATTGATTCTATATTTAAAAATATCTAAATGGGTAAAGTTTAAGGGGCAAGGAAATGATGGTTGAGATAAGCAGAGTAAATTAATAATGTAGTTAGAATAAAAACTTTCAAAAACCTATTCAGTAATGAAGCTGTTGCTAATATCTGTGGAATTATTCCTGCGTGAGGCGATCTTTGAACATGATGTGATTTAATGGTTCAATAAGGTTTACATTGAGGGTACAAAGCTTCTGAAGATGTAAAGATTGATATCATTTTTTAAAATTCAGGCGTGGCCACTGAACGAATGTAGAAACTCCTGCCTTTCTGGTAACCTACAAGGCAAGTTGGACTAAATCTATAGATGGCTGGTGTAGCTTGCTTCCTTTCCACTCCCCTCTTAGTTCATGACTGAAGACATTTCTTTTCAACCATACTTATTGTCACCAATTCCAAGGTGTTGTTGATAAAGGTCCACTGTTGTAGGGAGGTTAGAGCTGTTAGAGCACTTACAGCACTTAAAGGGTAGCTTGACCACTGTTACAGGACTCCTAAGATCAGTCCAGCACATGTATTTCAGCAATGCAGCTGGTGTTAAAATGAAATTGTCTGATAAGTGTTTGCAGGTCACTTTGCTCTCCTGTAAGGAGGCTTGCTGATGTTTTGGGAATCCACTTTCCCTGGGATCTGGCATCCACCTTAAGTGCCTCGCCCACACCAAGTGACGTCTGATCCCAGACACGCAGCAAGTGTGTTAATGTCTAAATGGCGCAAACTGAAATCGTTACACTACCACAGTAGTTGTGGCAACGAACAAATGCACATTGACAAACTTTTTCTGAACTGGTTTCACTTGAGGAAGTACCGAGCTTCAAGTGACCCATTAACCAGGATGTGCTTCTGGGCCTTTCTCAGACTATTTACCTCCAACTCTGTCTTACCTTGCCTGCTTGAAACATCCAGCATAGGAGGCTGGTTAAAACATGCAGATCCTGTCGAGGGAATGACAGTGAAGAATGTCAGCAGCTCTGTACAGGTTACAGTGGTGCTTACTGTGGTGGTACAAACCATACTCCTTCTCTGTCTAACCTGTGGTTGTTGAAGTCCAAGTGGCATTTTACCTGAGCAATTACCAGATTCATTGATTGTTGTGTGTGTGTGTTTTTTTGCTGGTGCTTTGCGAGTCCTGATGCTGTCTCGGGTAGTTTGCCTCGTGCATCAATCTTGGCTGTTGGCGTCAGTGAGTGCCGGGTCCCCAAGTAGGGTTATGATCGTGTTAAAAGTGCACAGGAGTGACCTCTGTTGTTTCCCTGCGGTGAGGGTCTGGTGAGATAAATCTCCTCTCTTGTTACAGCACACCTGAGCTCTCGCACTGCTGTTAGCTTTTCTTTTCAAAACCACGCAGCTGGTTCTCTGTTGCGTGGGACCGTTCAAAAGATGAGACTTTCATCCCATCGGTTTGGACGGTATTTTTTTTAAAAAAAACATGCGATCGGAAGAGACAGCTCACTAGCGCAAAGAGAAAATGAGCAAATGGGACATCTTCATGACTGTGGATCTGAGGGAACATTCAAACGCAGGGTTGGGTTCGTGTCTAGTTCTGGCCCCAAACCAAAAGGAAACATTTTGACATTTTCAGCACAAAAGGGGGTTGTTTGACTGATCACTACTGCATGGGTTTTCCAAATTGCCCTTTTTTTAAAAAAAAACGAATTAATCCCTCTTTCCAATGTGCAAACGAGCGATTATTGTACTGAGTTGGAGAGATTAAACCCTTTCTCGGCTGTGACTTTTGTAGAGACTGTCTGGCGCAAAACTCGAATTTTTTTTTTGTTCTTAAAAGAAACCTTCACCTCTCCCCTACCCCCACTGTACAGTTCCCCAATTCTTAACGTTCATTGCATGACATGCTGGAAATAACAAATAATTGCAGATTGTATGTTGCAATCTGAAGTCTCTGCCTAACCTGAAGAGTTAATGGGCTTACTCTGATACCCACATTAAATCAAGCCTGCTTTCACTCTGTGTGAATGACTGAGTGAGTTTAGCGGTGTTGCATTATGGTAATCCCTTCTCTTTTCCATTTGTCCCATCTAAG